ATGACAGCACTAAACTACATGATTCTGATTAGTCAAGTTGGAGTACTCATCTACTCATCTCCGCGTGCTGATATTATTTCTACCAGCTCAAATGCTATCAAGTCTGTGAGTCGAATACGTTTAAAGGAACAAGGTCACTAACTCATATTAATATCCTTCCCCTTGTGCGGATTGAGATTGTAAGCAAGATGTGCCGGTACAAATACATCACGAATGCCTCCCGGTTTCATGCCTATCAACCCAGTGTGGGCCCCTATTTACAGCGGCGTAGGCAGCATAGGCAGCGTAGGCATTTAAGTATCCTAGGATCATAGCCGAACCTAGAGCATGTCTTATATCAAGACGACAGTATAAGATTTATACTATTGAAAATAGTAATAGAACATAATTTCGAAATGACTGTTCCACGGCAGCTCGTCCCCCAAAAGATGTTCAGACGCTCAAGGACCAGAGTTCAGGCAATCGTACACTCTGCCAGTGACAAACGCCGACAATGCCAAGGACGATGACGACAAGAACAAGTTCGTCCGTGTAGTTCTCCAGCAAAAGAGATAAAGTAGATACTCTCCTGGAGGCGTCCGTACCTATCTGCTCGGCACGGAGTATTGTGAAGGAAGACGTAGTAGCAACTGCAAGCCTGAGGGGTGTCTCACCGTCGTCCCCTATTTCAGCAGCACGGTTGCTCTAGAAGAACGGACTCAATGCCACGTTATGTAGGGAGTGTAATCACACCACTTACAACAATAAGCTCGGCACCGTTTACCTCAACGGACGGCAGACGATGCTTGCTGCCTACGTGCCACATGGCAATTTCATTGTTGTAGCCTCCGACAAGGACAGTCCCGGCATGGATGAAGGTTCCAGGAAGTGGAGAGTGGGATTCCTGCGCGTGTAAAGCAAAGTGATGATAATGCCCGCCGCTCTGCATGTCGTATACATTGAAGCCTGATTGATGGTTGGGAGTCATAACGCGCGAGCCATCTGGAGTGATGAAAATGGCGTCACTGAGCGACATGTAGTTAGGTATGCCAGCTTGATACGGAACGCTCTAACGTACATGGGAGCATCGTGGGGTATTCCGCACTGGCTGACTTTTCCAGTTTTGAAATTATATAAACTGAGAGACCAAGTCAACACCAATGAACTTCACTAACCACGAACGTACCGAATGCCATATTGTTGGCGATAACAGATGACCACTTGCTCGTTATCCAGGAAGTGGAGCCCAGACACCTCGGCCTTCAGTTCGAGGTGGTTGCCACCCGCAATTGGGTCTGGCAGTACAGTGTGGTATTTCCACTGGAAGCAAAGGTTGTCCTTCGTTGGGCGTTGCCGAGCCCAAGCGGTTACCGTGTGGCCACCGCCCACCACCAATTTACGCATGTTTGGCGAGAATGCAAGATGTGTTATTGTGCTACCGGGCATAGCTACGATGGAAACGTTTACGAGCTGAGAGGACATGAGTTACTATTGAAAAATCGTAAAGGTGGCATACCTTTTTACTGGTTTCCATTTCGTACATGACGAGAGCTCCGCCAAGAGATCCCGCAAGTAAAAGATTCTCGCCGAACCACTTCAAAACCGTGACAGGGCTGCCAATGGGACTGTTTAGAGTCAAATTTGCGTTGGGCAACTCCCAAATATAAACTGAGGACCCAATGCCAGCCGCAATATGAGTATCCTTGGACGAAAATGCCAAGCATTTAATGTGGTCCCCTGCCCCAACCTTGATGTTGTGCTCGATGGCGTAAGTCAAGGACATTAGAGCAAGATTAGTCCTTGACGAAAGTTACAATCGTAAATGGATCAAAGGGAGGGAAGAATGAAGAGGCAACGCATCGGACTGCTTATATACCTTTACGCTTTTTCCTTCGGAGCCACTGGTTTGCTTTGTCCGCATACCTCGTGCACGCGTCCGCTCAGCATTGTGCGTGACAAAGGGCTCGCAGAGAGTGTACGTATCATAAAGCCAATAGGCAATTTGTGCGTCGTACGAAGCCTACGCATTCTAAGCACTGTACGCAGCTTACGCGTTCTAGGCATCATAAGGGGAGTAGGCAGCGTAGACAGTGTAGAATTTGTAGGCATCCTAAACATCATAAGGGAGTCTACGTACCCTGGGCATCGTACATATCGTACACATTGCGGATAGCGCACGCATTCGGGTGGTCTACGCATTCCAAGCATTGTAGGCAGTATACGCACTGCGAGCATCGTACACTTTGCGAACATCAAAACAAGCGAGTCTACGCAGAGAGATATATGTAAGTAAGTAGCTATATCGTGAATAACTACTGAAGGCGGAAAACCGACAGCGAAAGTTGTAAGGATGCAGATTGGGGGAAAGGTGAACCACGCAGCGTGGTGACTTTTGTGCTACATTTTCGCAAGTTGCCGGTCGATCCATAGCGCCCTTGGCTCACTCGTTACAACCGCTTTTGGTTGTACATCGTCAGTCATTTCCCACGCCCCTCGTTACAACCGCCTTTGGTTACAACTTGCGCCGTGTTTCGCGGCACCGGCACATCCCGAAAATCAGAGTATGAATAAGCGCGTTCGGCATTTTGGGGCCCTTCTCCTCCTCCTACACCGCCAATTATTTGGGATGTCCACGTGAGAACCGTGTGGAACAGTCGCCAGATATGGGCTATGAGAGCGCCCAGTCTCCCGAAGAGATCCCTGGAAGAGCAGTTTCCTCCATCATGGGATAGCCCTCGAGAGGGCTATCGGTAGGAGCTCTGACGAGACTCTCCCCAAAATCTCAGGCTATGAATCTCAGCCAGTTGTTGGTCATATCTCTGACTGAGATCAATAGACCATTGCCACGTCCTTCCGTGGCTTGCTTTATGATCTCATCCTTGGCCAGGGATTCTGGTTCTTTGCACGCCGTGACACGAATCAGGGTTTGGGATCAACATTAATCTTTATTTTATTGTATAGATCATTATAGACATGGCGAGGCATTCATAATAGACATATTCAAGTGCAATTAGAAGTTTTCGAATGTAAAGAGTGAGGCTTCGGATGGCGGGGTGGCGCCGGCGTGCAATGGATACGAGAAATCGGGACACAGGCGGGGACCAGCGCAGATGCGGCTCAATCATTGTCTTCCTCGTCAGTGTGTTCGTGTGATTCTAAACCAGCGGATTGACGATCTCGAACTGCTGTGGAAATGTTAATTTCTCCATACTTCTTCATGTCGTCTTCAAGAATCTTGCCGAAAAACCTTATCAAAGGGTTGTAAGAATTAGATCAGAGAATAGTTGTGAAAAAACCTCACTTGGACAAAGCCCGTGCAGATTTATGCTTCTTGCATGCATCGGCGAGCTTTTTATCGACAATTTTCCAGTAATTTGTGCCTGCGGATGGTGGATGGGAAGCTACAAGGCGCTGTCCATGCACCATATGAATATCAGAATGCCTCAAAGTGAATCAACACACCAAGAAGGCAACCCGCCCGCACAGCTCCACGGTGGTAGCTTTGACGGCACTTTCGTTAAGCTCGATCAAGCTATCACAAAGGTCGACGATGTTGATCGCTTGAACGCGCTTGGTCGGATCCTCTGGGTCAGCTTGTCCAGTCGACGGCACCAGCTATCACGAAGATTCAATTGCTGCAAACATAAGCAAAACACGGAGCTCACCAGTCCCTTCATGTCATGCCGCCCATCATTAAACTTCTTACGCAGCTTGCTCGCAATTGCGTGGTACTTATTCTCACAGTTCTTCATTTCCTTGGTAAATCCCCAGGCAGGATTCGCTTCGAGAGCAGCCTAAGCACACATTCCAGTCAGCAATAACTGGCAAGGGTTGATTGTGCACATACCAAGGCTTTCTTAACCGGGATGTCGTCATTGACATATGCCGAAAGGTTAGGATCAAGAAGAGTGCGGAATACAACGATATCACACTTCTTCTAGAAACCCATTCATCATCAGCAATAAGGAAGTTTGAGGAAAGATGTTGAAACAAACTGCAAGCCGAGTCGGAATCACAAAAACCGCATCCGGCGGGTCAATTTTGGCGACTTTCGAGTGCAAGCTAAGCAGGCTTCCGGCAAGGACAATGCGCTGTTGCATCGGAGTGTACTGGCATGACAAATTTTGATTATTGCAAAGCATAATGTAGTGAGAAAACTCACCCTTGCGAATGCTGACAGGTCATCGGCTTCAGTTTTTGGTAGTTTGTAGGATCGCACGACAGTATCCACGAAAGCTGAACTGTCCTCAGCTGGGCGCTTGCGAGCAGATGTGATATTGATCGGCTGCTCCTGAAGATCAAGAGTGGCTGGAGTTGGTGAGGTGGGTCTGGAACCGAGCGGTGAGGAAGTGCGAGGTGGTGAATTTGAACGAGGAGGAGAGGAGGTTAAGTCCATGTTCAAATAATCATCGACATCTGCCATCGCGGAACAGCAAAGGAAGTTGAAATATCCGAGTCTTTGAAAGGAGTGTGGAGACAGTTGGAAGGAACGGAGCAAAAATGGAGAATGAGTGAAAGCAAAAACGAGCGAACGGAAGGACCGCAGTGCGTTGCATCGCGAGGCGGCCTCGAAGCTACGAAAGTCTGGGCCAGCCAAACGAGCGGAAGCGATAGCAAAGGCGAAGGCCACTCGTGCACGTAATAAAGCAGCAGCCGAAGGTGTTGCAGTTTCTCCGTAGTACTCCGCCTATGTCACTATGTTATCTGTATTAGAATCTCTGGAATAGCTCGCTGGGATCTCTCCGAGAGAGCCCAAGAATGGCCGGAGATTCTCGGAGACCGGTGATCAAACAGCGCTTGGCCTGAAGTCAATGCGTCGTTGGCTCCGGAGCACGGCAAGAGAAGCCGGCCAACTCTCCCACTAAGAGCCGAAATGATTGGCGGTGTACATGTGACCTGAAGATTTGACTAGCCTTATTGCGTCTTGCTTTGTTGCAAGCCTCCCATACTTATAATTATCTGAGCCGCCAGAATGATTTTTTGTGCTCATCTTTCAACGTGTACTCTCAACTCTCATATCAATGGCGCTGGATCCCCGTATCATGGCTGTCTGGTGAGTAGAAAGCCCAAGAACCTAGGGAATAGACAAATCACGGCTCTCATATAGGGCTCTGAAGCTGGAAGGCAGCTCGCGAGTGAACGTAAATCCTCAACATGGCATACGTATCACCAACATCTCCTTGGATTTCTCGTCTGTTCCATTGTCTTCAGATAGGACGGTCGTCACATTGGAAACTGGGCAACTCCCTGAGTGGAATGACGCCAGCAAGGATTCCACAGCGGTCAAGACAAATGTGATTGTATTGGGCTCGCTCATGCCCGAAAGGGTACTTGCAGCCGTATTCATTTTTGTACTGAATTCATGGATTGATCCCAGGTCGAGCATTTGATCACGAATCTAACCCTCGAGTGTTGTAGGCCGTATGTCTTCACAGTGAATGGGGCGAATGGCGTGTGCCTTTCAGGCAACCTTGTGGGTAAGCTCAGATACATCGTATTCATGGCCTTCCTTGCTACTTGAAGCAATAGACACCATATACCGCAACCACATTCATGCCGGTGAAGTTCCCCGTCGCATCCATGAACAGCCGAAGTCTATGAACCCTGCAGCTAACAAAATAAATACACAAGACGCAGGCCAGATCTTCCAGTCCCCAAGCACCTCCACTCAAAGCTCCGCGACTCCTGTCCCCCTGCAAGTACCCCAAGGCGCTGTTGCCCCCGCAAACGGCGGTCCCTTATTTGGTGCTCAATCTCCGTCGAAATCGAATGGCAACCCCTACCAATACGTGGCCACCCGTCCTCCCCATGATGATCGTATTGGTGAGCTCTACCTCATTCTTGGTCGTCCTGGCTGAATTCGAGCGCTAGAGAGCGGTTACCGGGGTTTTCCCAAACCCTCTACAACCATGAAACCTATCGCCAACAACGGGGATCCAAAAGACACTGGCCTGATCCCCCAGCCTCCAAGCGCTTCCTCTCAACGCCCTGTGACCCCCCAAGTGCCCCAAGGTGCTTCCATCCTCGCAAACGGTGGTTCCGTGCCGGGTGGTCCTCTCCCTCAATCTGTGCCGACTGTCAACCCCTACCATTATGCAGCCATCCATCCGCCTACAGGGGATCGCGGCATTGGTAGGCTCTGTGTCGATATATCCCCGCTCATCCTGGCTCATTCGAGTCTCAGATAACACGCATGGCGGCCAGTTCCAGCGCTACCTCGAACCTTTCCCTCAACGTACTATGGAACCATTCCCTCAACGCACTGTGGTTCCTGTTCCTCAGGCGTTGCAAGGGAGTATCCCCCCCATGGGCGGCAACCCCATGGCGGGCGCTCTCTCTAATGTGACCCCCCACATCGACAACAGCCATCATGGAAGCTTCCATCCGCCGAAGACTCTCAAGAGGAGAGCTGACCCCGTCGAAAACGGCCGGAGATCTCACCGGGACAACACGTCTCTTGGCGATTCGCAACGGGAACCGTTGGCAACCAGTCGATTAATGGACTTTAGATCGCCACAGCAGCATCTGATCCCATTCAACTTCAAGCCTATGGATAATGCCCATGGAGGCGCGCCTGCCTTCGGTGCCTTACGCAATACTGCCCCAAGCATGCCTGAGGGCACCAGTATTTCAGCTACCACTTACAATAAGGGGATTGGTTCATCGACAGTAACTGTGGGATCGATTGTAGAAATAGTCTGGTACCTGGTACATGCAGGGGAAAGGTATGGAAAATGTCATGTAAGCGCTCTCCTTCTCCTGAATATGGATACTGATGAGGCGTATAAACAGGGAACTTACACTCTTGGCAAGAACCTTCCGAATGTCCCTGGACTAGCAGAAGGTATTATAGGAATGCGCTTGCACGAGGAACGTGAGATACGGGTGCCTAGTTGGATGTCGCAACACCCCTCAGGTGAAGATACATCGATTGGTATGTTGGCGATGCATTATGGTGTTTAGCGCCACTGATTATTGGGCTTACCATAGAGTGCCGTCTTTTTATGCTGGACAATTCGGGGATTGTTTCGATTCAAGGACAACGTGGTTAAGCAAGCAGCGGCAATGTCTCCGCAGCCGATGTATTGAATGATTTCACAAAGAAGAAGCACTGTCTGGCTTGGGGACGAGAGGTTTCGACAAGATAGACACACCGATCGTACAACCAGTACATATATTCTTTATCTACTTCATATCAGAGCTCTAATCGCATAACTCGGGAGCCCCGCAAAGCTTCTATCGTGTTATGAACTTCCTCTGCGCTTGAAATTGGTCCTTCCCCATCTTGAGCGTGGAGCCTTACATGTTCCACGGCCTGAAAAGTTTCGAAGTTGAAGCGGGTGACCGCCAATACATATGAGTGGGCTCGCTGTAAAATGTCCAGGTCTAGCGATATACTTGCTAATTGCGCCCTATTCCCTCCAAAAGTAGACCATATGGACGACAAGGTAACTTCGTATGTTTGGCGACGTGTGCCGGCTTCCTTGTTGACGAGGTTGCCCAAGTGGAGAAGACGGGAGTCGAAACGGCTGAGAATCGCCAAGGTAGCATCAGAATGAGAGGCTACGGTGCGGGAGAAGCGGTTGAATGCTGACACCACATCGCTAAGAACCACTGAGGCAGAAGGGTTCCTTGAACATGACGGGAGTGCGATGACGAGGCTGGCGATTTTGCAGAAAGCGGTGTCAGGGCCGAGCCACTTGACCACCATCGTTGAACTGCGGATGACGTAGCCTTCAAGATCCCTGATTCTACATTATCTCATTAGATCTAATGTCAATGTCTAAACGATCGTCCGAACTTACTGATTAGATCCACCTTCTACCAGGTGACGCAGTTGTAAGAGGGAACGAGACAGATCAAGTATATCCCTTTCGTTCTCCGTGAGGAAAGGACCAATAACAAGTCTCGAAGAAATATTGCTTGAATGGACGAGGAATGCCACGTTTTGAGTTTCCACGTAGATATTCGATAAATTAGTGAGGAGCGGAGGCGCCAACGTGGAGTATGCCTGGAATTGAGCTGCACATTGCCCTAACTCCGACGAAAGGCCTGATAATTGTGCGATGAACTCCCTGGAGCTCAGCATGGCTTCACAGAAGGAGGTTGGTTTCAGGCCCGCATAAGAACACAGCGAGCGTGTGACACCAGACAGGAGAGCCAGGAAAGTGAAGCCGGTAGAAAGCAGAAAAACGCAATTGACGATGATACGGTGACCCATCACAAAAGAAGGGACGACGTAAAGGAAATATAGTAACGGGGCGATTCGATACCAGACGACAGTGGAGGGAGTAGTGAGGAAGGCGAGTTGCATGTCTTGTGGCTTCATTGTCTAGAATCCAATCCCTTTATATATGGGGTACTGTGGTCCGGGGCCCAAGCTGGCGGTCAAGGCTGAGGCCACCCACGAAGGACACTTTTTTGATGTTGGTTGAGTCACTAAAGGTGGTGAGATGCTACGCAGATAAAGCTTGCGAGGCGGTCAATCCATGGCACAAGTTAATGTTGCAACGGCACGGTACTTCATTCTCATTCGCTGACTTTCCTTGACCGCTGAGGCACATATTGGGATCAGATAATATAGGCGATAACGGGTACTAGTATTTACTACATGAAGATGTCAGGTTTGTGGTGTACGTGGATGAACATATGGTTGAACATGGGGGGAGGAGAAAAGCTTAGCAAATGCCGAACGCGCTTATCCATACTCCGATTCTCGGGATGTGCCGGTGCTGCGTGACACGGCGCAAGTTGCAGCCAAAAGCGGCTGTAACGGCGGCGTCGACGATACAACCAAAAGCAGTTATAACGCAAGTCACCCTGGGCGCTACGGATCGGCAACTTGCGAAAATGTGGCATAAAAGTCACCATGCTGCGTGGTTAACTTTTCTTCTTTCCCTCCCACCTTACAACGTTCGCTGTCATTTGTGGTATTCCCCCTTCAGTAGTTGGTCACGATATGGCTACTTATATATATCTTCCGGCGTAGACTCGTTTGTTTTGATGTTCGCAGGGTGTACGATGCTTGGAATGCGTAGACCACCCGAATGCGTGTGCCATCTGCGATTCTTAGAATGCTTACGATACGTAAGCTCCGTACGCTGCGTACGATGTTCAGAATGCGTAGACCTACATGAATGCATAGACCACTTGAATGTGTGGGCCGTCTGCTTAGAATGCGTGGGCCATCTACGGTGCTCAGAATGCGTACACTGCTTGAAGACGGTCATTTTCTATGGAGCGCCAGACTATAAGAGGGATGCTGATCATGCCATCATCTGTCAGTATCCCCGTAAACATCGCTCGCACATACGGATCACCCTCCAGTCACAGGCATGTCTAGTGACCGTCCCGCAGCCCCCACGGGCTTAGAGGACAAACATTTTGGATACACACACGAAGCTGAAGACAAAGACGCCAAAGACGTTGACGAAGAAGAATACGAGGCCCAAGTAGCATCTGGCAATGAGGTCCTGCTTGATCCTCGCTGAGACATAGATGTCGCTGACGTGATTTACATAGCGCCGACTCATTTGTCCTCTCGAGACATGTCACGACTCGATCCCGTTCCCCCTACCAACGGGCATCAAGAACCTTCTGAGCCGGTATCACCTCAACGATGACTCGTCAGAGGACAGCCCCTCAGACGAGGTTACAACCTCTTACGAGCGATTGAACGCCCAGATCAGTCTTTGCAAGGCGATCAATCTCGTTCACACCGAAAAGGCCGCTTTGCGCTACTTTAATATGCATGGCTTGCCGACGAAAATCGACTTCGTTGCACTTCCTATACGCATTCTCGAATTTCAGGATGCAATCCAAGAGCGAGCAACGAATCGAGAGCGCCTTACGGACTGCTTCATATGGAAAAGTCTGCTCAATCATACCAGCAAGAAGGGGTTGACCCTCAGCGGGATCGCACGTTGTGGCATGGCCCAATTGCCGAGTTCCATCATTTCATTAGCTCGTCCTGGATAGTATGTCTCGCATTAACCTCTGGACCAATTCACTAACTGTATCCCTATAGCTACGGCAATAAAGGAGCTCACATAATTGAAGCTGTTGTCCTCAAGCTAGTTGATCCAATGTCTGATGCATTCGCGCCCCTTAGCCTACAGGCCTTTCGAGCTCTCTATCTCATCCCCTATGTTGCTACCCGGCTAATTGCGCAAGACAAGCATTGCAGCATTACAGAAGCATGGGACTTACTGATTTCTAGTGCTGGCTATGGTTCAATCCTGCAGCGAATAGAGGACGAAGACGAAGACGAACTCGACGACATCGTCCGCTCAGTGTACCTCAACCCCACTAGTTACATGCGCTGCACTGGACCGCGGCCGAAGGTTCCTTCATATTCATTGTCTATGTATTGGCATACTGACTATTACCCCTCGTAGCCACGACCTTTAAGGAAAAAAGAGACCCCTGCGGCCGAACCTGGCGATCTCGATACTGGGCCTTGTCGAACCAGTGCACGCTGTCATCCACCCCTTCGCGAGCCACTGGAATTACCCCAAAAACGTTACCATCTTCGCAGTCATACAAAACAAGTGTTAACGACCGTCACTACTGACGACGCAAGCTCCTAGCTCTCATCCTTTCACAATCTGAGTAACACTCCCAAACCCGGCCCCTGTATCCCCCGCAAAACAACTCCTAATTTCGCCGCATGCGGTATAGCTTATACGTCTGAGTCTGCTGTTGCGTACCGACTTCTTGCTCTACGCCCATTATTCGGAAGCTTTATGTTACGCAGTCTAAACATTCTATTGAATACGGGAATACGGGAATCCTGCTGCCCGTAAATCAATGTAAGATGAGCGACATCTTCGCGGCTCGTATCGGGCTTCTGCTATCCTCTTGTATGTAGCAGGAGGTGGGTCCTATGCTCAAAGGGGGGTCGACTTGGAGCCTCAACATTGACGATCAGTGTCTGCAAATCAGCTGCGCATGATGGTCGCTTCGGTGCCCCCGGCGGGCGTCAGGAAGGGCCTGCTCAGAGAGTCTGTCGAAGGCCAGCGGCTTAGATCGTTAGCTGATCGAGGCCTAGCTGGGGTTGAGGTCATCGTGTTGAACTCTAGGGCTCGAGCGACTCCCTGTGCGAGTTGGGCGACGCGCCCCTGGCGCATTGGTTCGTTTCGCACCCAGCAGTTCACTTTTTGTCGTCTATGGCTCTCTTACACCGCCTGCCGAGTCCAATCGTTACACGAGGCGATATACTTGAGCTCCCACAAGATGATCAAAAGCTCTTTGACTACTTCGTTCAGGACTCCCAGGCTAAGCTGAACAAGGACATGGTACTATCACGGAAGAAAACCCCCGTTCATACTTGTTCGCATATCGCGCTCCGTAGCTCTGATGGCTTCATATACGTTTCGGGCAATACTGAGATTATCTGGGGAGGCCTGAGGCAAATTTCGTACACTTTGGGGAGGCCCCCTCGGCAAATTGTACATATTACATATCAATGTTTACTTTCGCTATTGAGTCAATTCATACATTTTGGGCCCAAACTCATGAGTACACTTTGGCCGACGTACTGATCATGCTGTATTACCTTGCTTTAGCAAGGTCCCCCCTCACAAATCTCCTTTTTGGGCCAAACATCTGCAGTCATGTGATGGTTTGTAGAATTAGGGGCCCCAGTTGGCACTCCCAGCACCGAATGAGCCTGACCTGCGGCCAGGCAAGTGGCAGCATCAATTTTATTTACGAAACTTGAGGTGAAGCATGTAAATTATCGGACAACCCAACAATAAAGCATGGTCCTTGATTATCTGAATATTTACCCCTGTTGACTCTGGGAGTATGCACATGATACATAACACAGCCACGCACAACGCAAGCGACTTTCCCAAGACTTTCCGTACGAGAATGAGAACACCTCGAAGAAAGAAGAACAACTCAAACCAAAAATATGCTACCTGGACAACGAGATGAACACACCGAATACCATGAATATGTAGTCGGTGAGTTGGCTCATGTTATAGCAAGGCCTTAAATGTCACGCTCTCTCTACATCAGAGTTCTTAGGGCCTGGAGATCGAGCAATCAACTTCAACTATGACGACGACGCCCAAATACACGAGGACATGAGAGAGCAGGAGCCTGTGGAATGGCCGAATGACCTTTTTTCGCCATATGACGAAGCTACAACCTATCAACTACTTCAAGATTTGAAACAAGCAAAAGCTTTCGTCTGCCGCGTGTTGGTGAAGGTACAGTTCGTCCAAGATGTGTGGCCAGTACTTCATCTTGACATCGATGTATCTTCAGCCTTGGAAAGAGGTAGAAGTTATTCAAGAAGTTGTACTGAAGAACTTGGAGGCTCGGACAAGAATCTTCTCGCATCGGAAAGTCAAAGGGGTGGTCTACGTTCTACCACGTCCTGACATGGCGGAAATCGACAATTTCTTCAATGTCGTATCGAGCCCGGCTGTCCTCCGCACCGAATCCGGTGCTACAATCAAAGAGGCTCTTTCGCATACGGAGACGAAGGTTCTTCTTTTCAAACAGGAAAATCCAGCTGAGCCCAATGCGGGAGGACTCGTACGCATTCACGGCGACGATACGTACGAGAACCTGATGGCATTCGTGGTCGAAGTCGAACCATGTTCTCAAGTGGCTCATCTATTGGTACTTCGGGCTCCGTATAAATATGTCGGCAATGAACCCGAATATGATGGATTCCCGAGCGCAAGAATTCCCGAACTGGTCACAGAGAACGGCCAGCTTGCGCATGACGGCCGCATGTATGCATTTGGGCTCATGAGAGGAAAACTTCCCTTCGACTGTTTACAATGCGGAAACATTTGCCCTACATTTCAAGAAATCGAGGCGCTTGAGCGATGCCCATACGACCCGGTTCGACAGGAGGCTATTTTCCACAAGCGAAACCAAGTATCTAATGGCGACCTCGTCAGGATCATATCCGGAAGGTACCAAGGTCTTGTGGGTTGGGCTGACGATTTGCGAGCGGAAAGCTGTGGTGTGATGGCGAGGCCAACAACTTTGGCAGCAGATACCTTCGGAATCGAGATAGCAAAGGAAGATCTACTGCGTCCGACACTCAAGAAAGGAAAAGACGTGCTTGTTATCAGAGGTCCCTTCGCGGGAGTGAAGGTAAAGGTTGTCAAAGATCTGGACAGATTTCATGTTCACGCGAAGGTGGTCAAACCTTCCGAAATAATGGTTCGGGTCAAAAGCTGGGAGATTATCAAATACGCAGATGTCGGCGATTACGTTGAAGTGGAAAGTGGCCCATATAAAGGTTGTCAAGGCTATGTAGGAGCAGATCAGTGGCAAGCGGCGAGAGTGTTTGTCGACGATCTGGTCGAGAGACACTTAGGGGACATCACCCTCTTACATTCCTGGGTACGGTTTGGAAATATCGCTATTACTCATCACTCACAGCTAAGATACAGGTCGTCGTTAACTACAACGACCTAAAAACAATCCAAACATGTCGCACGGTTGCGCCAACTGCGCCCATTGAAGAGGAAAGCAAGGGTGGTTCTTTGTTACAACGATCTTTGGCGGGGATGGAGGTGGCCATCGTCTACCACAAATTTTTGAAGGGTACCACAGGCCGAATCATTTCTTCGTCCATCATCGAGTCGAAGCGGGGGAAAAGACGGCTTGTATACAATGTGGGCAAGCTTCGCGACAATTCCTCCTACACCTATCAAGTCAAGGAACGTCATCTTCGTGAATTATCGTACGTATGGTTAGATGTTGAGTGAATTCTCTAATCCGACATATGAACCCAGCACTGGTTTGCCGATAGTGATCGCCGCACGATTGCACATGATCGATTCGAAGCCGACGGAGGCTCGGACTCCGACACCCCCGATCGTAGAGGATGAACAGCTTGCTTGTGACTTCGTCGAACACGCACTCCGCGAACGAGTTCCTTTTGCCGTTGACACCCTAGACTCGGACAATCACTATGACGAGACCATACAGAATAACCTTCCAGAACAATCCTTTCAACGTGGTATTTACATTGTTTGTTTGGAGAAGTACATGCCTTCACTCATCTTTGTAGGTGCTTGGATCCTGCATGAAAGACTGAGGCACAAGAAGCTTGAAGTCCACATCAGTGGGACTCGCGACAAAATAGTGTTTAGGCAAGGAAAGCTCGAAGGCAAAGACGGGTACCTCGTCGTGACGAGTCGCATCTACAACGTCGAAGCTTCGGTACTCGTCAAGATTGATTCATCGGCCAGAGAGCCAACGACTAGAATCCCTGTGAAGTACCTTTCGCCGAAATATTCAGACTTTCCGATCGGAACGAGGGTTGTGATCATCGGCGGCGAGGTGCAAGATGAACATTCTCGCGATCACGAAACATGGATCGGGTCTTACGGGGTAGTCGCCCCATGCGCTTACGACCTGCATCCAGAGTGTAGGATGGTGTGTATAGCGCCATCTGGACTGTATGCATATTTTCCAGTGGACTCATTGTGTCCATCAGGTGGCAAAGCTGAATGGCAAGGTTATATATATTGATAGGTTATTGATAGGCAGTTATGCGAGTGGGTTTGGGCTTTCCCATCTATCTAGCATCAGTTGAATATATCTTGTTTCTTGTACCTTGGAAATGAGCATCATCACAACAATCAAGTTGATGATGCAGACGATGACGGCACGGACGAGGACAAGGACGGCAGGGACAAACTCCAATTTTGCCTGTTGTTCTTGGTAACTGTCACATGATGGGGCCAGACGCTGAATTGTTGCCAGAACTCGCGATGCGCGCCATCCATACTATTGGAATGTACATCTAGCCGTAGTCACTGCTCGTCTACTTTCCTCAAATGTTTTTTTCCATACATGTTTATTCCTTTTCTCCTGTACACGCCGAAGTGATCTCTGGTCGCCAATAATAGTCCCCTGAACGCGCGCCTTCGGCGCTGGCTCCCTCACTCTCAGCAGTCCAAGCTCTGCCTGGGATGATCAAACCAAGGTGTATAGCCTCGCGCATGAGTTCTGTCTTAATTCTGGACTCCCTGTCGACTGCCCCAAATTGCAACCAAAAGTGGATGCATCTTGAGTACATACATTTCTGGCGCAAACTCAATCACCGCTTGGCACGAGTCAGTTTCAACCAAAAGCGGATGCATTCTGGGTACATCCATTTCTGGCGCAAACAATACCGCCTTCAATGGATGGTTACCGGCGACACTCATATATAGTGACCATCAACAACATAGCATTGTCTCCCTGTCCGTACCCATTGTACATACGTTAAAGGCTAAATGCATTGACAAAGCGGAGTGGGACGGTAGCGACTCGGAAATGTAGCAAGATATATTGAATATCGGCTTCAAGGGAGCTGATGGCCTTCATGAGCGGTGAGGACAGTTGCCAGGTCGATACCTGATCTTTCCGGTGCAAGTAGCCGTATGCCCTGGAGAATCTCGACCATATCTCGCAGTGGTCGCACGGCCATCTTCTGCGGATCCTCGAACAACCAGTTGCGACACAACGGGCATGTCTCTGGAATCTTTTTCTCCTTCTGCCACTGTAGCCACTGCTTCAAGCAAGAATCGCAAAAGTAGTGCTGACACTCGCAAGTGCTATCAGATCGACAATTTAGTTTCCCTATAATTACAATAACAAGGGGATAACTCACCTGACGGGCCATTTGATTGTGGTCAGGCATATACTGCAGTCGAGTGCTTGGAATGCTTCTCTAACTTTGAGTTTGGCCTCAAAGAATGAATGGTCTCAGTTCATCTGAGAAAGTTCCAAGTCGACACACCTGCATCACTAAACTCTCAAGGGATCTGATTCGCTCCGCCATACGCGTGTTTTCCTGTCATCCATTAGCAAAGGAATCATGCTATAGGTCCACAGCGTACTTCAGTCAACTCGTATACTTGTTGTTCTAACTTGGTAGTGGTATCCGTAGACGCGACAAGGACGTACTCCTCTTCAACGTCACGAGCTTGGTCAATGCTGAGGCCTGGCTCGCTGGCCTCCAGAGTGTCGAGGAGAGTGTCTGGGAGTGGCATCAGGCTCAGTGGTCTTCGGGTTGTGTTGAAACGCATGACAGAAATGGGTGATGCTGAAGAAGCAATGATTGGGGGTTCCATCGGGAGGTACAGAACTCCTCGCGGGGGCGTGAATGATAAAGCTTCAGTCTATTATTCGCTTGGGCCTTATTGACCTCCCGTACTGACCTTGTGTTTCAAGGCTACGTAAAAGCAAGGTGATTGCCCTTCGTACTAGCGCATCTTACTTTCTACTCGCAGTGATCCGGGAGGCACAATGCAGTAGGTCGACAATCGGACCTTTAAGAGTGCCACTGGAGATGATAAGCTATATAAGGAACATTGAAGTGGCGACTGGGTGCAATAATTAACCATGTCCAAGCGGGCGCGGTCTATCAGTCCGCCTAAAAGCCCTATGTCCAGTCTCAGCGCCTTGTCTTCCAAACGAACGAGGTACTCTACACCCGAACGCACACGATCTTACTCCCCCCCTGTCAACCCGCGTATAAACGTCGCTTCAATTCGAGGGGCCGTAACTCAACGTCGCCTGCGTCACCTGAATCGGGATGGTTCTATTGCGCGCCAACTTCCTCTGCATCAACCGCTGACTCGGGAGCGTTATATTGAGCAGGGACCTTCCATTCCTGTCTCTTATGGCTCGACATCTGGGCATCCAGGAGCCTTTCCCGTCGGGCCAGCCAGCACATACGGAGAACGTAACACCTACCGCTCAGGAGGAACCTTGCCTCTATCTGGACACCAAGGATCGGTTACGGATGGGCAAACGCAGGTTTCGCGACCGAATAGTTCACGCGGAGAACTTCAGATCCGCTTCGCAGCGGGAAACGTCGATGTAGAATATGAGGGGCCATCAGATGGGGAGTCGTTGGATGAGGCGTCATCGGATGGGCAGTCGTTGGATGAGGAGGAGTCGGATTGGGAGTCATCAGATGGGGAGTTCAGCGAAGAAAATGGAACGGATGGGGACGTCTCGGATTTGTCGGGCTCTGAGGTATGGACGGTCGTTGACGACGATGAAGAGTGGAATAATCTGAGCGACGACGACGACGACGAGTGAGTGTGCAAGCTGGAGTACTTGTGTTCCCGCCCCATGGGTGCGATTGGTTCGTGTGCCTGTTTTACACTGATCTGGTAGCATAGCTCGCAATTATCATAGATATCATGATCATTGTGTTCGTTGCTGTCCACTTGTATGAGACACGCTCTGAGTCGTGCTTCAAATGCCCCTGCCGGCTACGATGCCTATGCCGCCTATGATGCCTAACCCGCTTATATTGCCTATGATACCGACTCTCCGAGCCGTACGTGGGTAGACACGTTAACGACGGTCGGACATGGGAGGAGGAGAAAGGCTCGCGAACGTCGAACTCGCTAACGAACGAACACTGATATACGGAATGTGCCCGTGCCACGAAAGTTGCAACCAAAAACGGTTGTAATGGTCGGCGCGGGTGATTGGCCAGCATGATGTGCAACCAAAAGCGGTTGTAACGTGTTGGCCAGCGCTACGGATGGATCGGCAACTTGCGAAAATTTGGCATAAAGGTACACACTGCGCGTAATTTACTTTTTCCTTTCTCTCCCACCTGCATTCTTACGACTTTCGCCGTCATATGTGGTATCCCGCCTTCAACAGTTGGTTATGATAGTTACTTTTCACATAACATATACTTTTCAACGTAGCCAAACTTGTTTGATGTCTGCAACATACAGTATCTTAGGAATATCACAAGAACTCTAGATCACTCCTACGTACGATTCTCAGAATACTTAGACTACCTACAATGCTTAAAGTGCGTAGAACACCTGGATGTGTGGGCTGGTGCTCAGAATGCGTAGACCACCTGACTGCGTGGGCCATCTACGGTGCTTAGAGTAACTATGGTGCCTACGATGCCTACGCTGCCTACGCTGCCTACGCTGCCTACGCTGCCTACGGTGCTTAGAGTAACTATGCTGCCTACGATGCCTACGCTGCCTACACTGCCTACGCTGCCTAGAGTAACTATGCTGCCTACGATGCCTACGCTGCCTACGCTGCCTACGATGCCTACGCTGCCTACGCTGCCTACGCTGCCTACGCTGCCTACGCTGCCTACGTCGCCTACGCTGCCTACGCTGCCTACGATGCCTACGCTGCCTACGCTGCCTATGAGGACTCTGAGCGGCCCAGTTCCTGATTTTCGCATCAGGGCAGAATTCGAAGACGTCAAGGCTCTCGAAACTCGCAATTCGGACAAGGTAGCAAGCCTACTGGAGGAGCAGGCTAACACCTTATCCAGCCTCGAGGAGGCACGAGCGAGGGAGAGGACCTTGAAGCCTGGATCTGTGCTAGGTCGGCGAGGGAGAGGACCTTGAAGCCTGGATCTGTGCTAGGTCGGAGAGCGATGAGGTGCAATACGGAAGCTGCACGCGAGAAGGACAGGAGCAACGTTTCCACGAATTGAAGGCCGTTCTGGAGGACACCGAACGCCAGCTCAAGGATGTGCAGGCAAGCGTGGATGTGGGCAATACTGATGCCATTGGTTTACGGGAGGCAAGCACACCATGTTGAACGCCTCCTGCGTGAAGACCTCAGTGCTGGCAGGACCTCCCAAATTAGCTTCGAGCAACGATTGGAAAGTTCGGAACAACTCGTCGCACAGACAACAGTCCCGAGAGCTTGTCTCTGATTGGTTCTACGTTCGGTGCTTCTTGAGTGCTTCTTTGAAGAAGATCCGACAGGCGCTCACGCGAGGTGAATCGATGCACGCACAGCCAATAGGAGGGCCTCAAGCGGAGGCAAGATGGAGTTGCACTTATGCCAGTCAACGGTTCTGTGGGCCGGCCATTGGCTGTCTGGATGATGAATCAACCTTGACGTATACCGAAGCTTCGACGTCGCGAATACGACTCGTCACGATGAGGTACCCATCTTTGCCTTCGAGATCTATATGCCCTAAGAACTCTGACATGGAGGAACAAAGCCAAAGTGCATTCAGGAGACTAGATGGTATCATATTAATCGCATTATGATGCAAAGGAGAGATAAGGAGAGTAAAATTGTGAGGAAAGGACACCGGTAGACAAGCAGTGACTACGGCTAGATGTACATTCCAACAGTAGTGTTTACCTGACGGCTGGTGCGGAGGGTGAGTTTTGGTAACAATTCGGCGTCTGGTGCCGTCATGAATCTGGCCAGGCGGATGAAGACCCAAGACACGACGAATAGTACACAAGCGAAGAAGATGACCCCATCCTCCTCCTCCTCGTCATCGTCGTCGTCGTCATCGTTATCACTTTCCGTACCCATCGCGGTATCAGAAGAGCCTTCGTCGTAAAATATAAACAACAGGAAAAGGGCTGCGTGCAAGGTTTAAAGATGAACGCAAACTCGGGGGAAAGAACTTCCATACCATTAGTGCCTGCCATATTTGTCTTTATCATCTTGGTCCTGGTCACTCCCTTGGCTTTGGTTCTCGGCTACAGCCGCGGGGGCTGCTTCAGGGGCGGCCAGACGGTTGCTAGACATGCCTGTGACTGGAGTGCTTGTGAGTGATAGATGAGATGTAAGTTATATCTAGTAAATCGTAAAATCAAAGCCGAAGCCTTTATTATTGCCTTGAGGCTATTCAGGGCCTACTGGCTTCATGTTAGCACCCTAGACTATATGGAACAAAGCAACATCGAGCTTGCTTTCTTCAGGACCAGCATCCGAATGTGCCACTCGCTATACAGAATAACCAGCGATATGCGGCTGAACGTTCACTAAAAACCTGCGAAATTGATAGTGCATCGTACATACATATGCGACCTCCCCACCCTTACGCGCCTGCCTTGGATGCTCGCAAATCCTCACGACTTGCGAAAATATCGCCCTCTTCGTCACAAATCCCCCAGGAATCGACCACGGTATCGATAGACCTGCCTCCGCCGCACGAAGCCTCTTCAAGGGATGCGCTCAAAGGACCTTCTCTAGATGCCACTGCGTCACTCGCATCCAGTGTCAAAGGGGTCAAGAAAGCCAACAGAGCGAATCTACAACAGGTGAGATAGAGATGTTGATGCTTTCCTGCGAGCTGACCAGGCGTACGAAGACCCGGTGGGCTTTGAGTAAAGAGAAGCGACGATGTGCAGAACTTGATGCAGCGAATCAGGAGTTGTCTCAACGGATGACAGTGGTAAGTCGTCACGTCGCTTTCCTGGTGTGTGCCCTGATGTTCCTAGATTACTGCCACTCTTGCCCAAGCGCTCAGGTGTGGCATTTGTCACGATTACATGGTAGCGGCTTCCACGTTGGTGTTCTCATTTCAGCCAATGTACTTCATCTGACCGCTTGTAGCACGTCTTGTGGTCATACCTTTTGCACAGGCTGCCTTGCGTCATGGTTTCGATCACAGATCCGGTACAAACTGGATGACTACGGATATGGCCGTATATTTGAGGACAATGCCTTCCCAAGAAACGCCGAAGAGAGGAGACTGCTTCAAAGAACACTCCAGGAGGACATGTCATTTGCAGAGGCAAAGGAATGGTTTGCCTATAGATGCCCGACGTGCCAAGGGGACGTAACGAAGACTCCTTATGAGGTACACATGATGAAGGAGATCATGGAGTCCTTCGCGGTCAACGTCTATCCTGATTTAGAGAATTCTGCGCTAGGTAGGGCTGCGAATGCGGTCGAGTTTGCGGGCCTCTTCGTAGATGGAGATTTGTGCTAGATAAATTGGATGTGACTTTGTGATACGTTCGTATGAGTCATGACCATGACATAAGGAACTGGGGTTGTTTTCGCTGCACGGAACGATTGTTTCTAGAACTTCCGAGATCAACAGAAACGTGTTTGTCTGCACAAAAACCTGTGTAGAATAGAAAAGACGGCGATGCTTCCATTCCACGAACTGGGGTACTAATGAAACATGTACACGAGGCCTTGAGGGTTGAAACTTTGAAAGCAAGGCGCGTTCGGCGGTCTACCTTCCATAATTCTAATTCGACGAACCAAAAGAGACATGAACTCGGCAATGGACCAATGCAGGTTGTGGGGTGGATCTGAAGAATTCGTAGCCGTCTTCGACGACCTGCGGAACGAGGTGAATAGTGCCTTACGGAGATATTGGCCGAACCTACCTAGCGTGCTCTACATATTAAGTCCATGTCTTGTTCTTGCAGGCATCTCGACACGACATCGGGACCAAACGTAAACGAGACATATATGTTTATATTCCTCTTCCATTCATTCATTGGTGGTATATATGATATTTCCTGTCTCTTTCAAAATGTGTATTAATGCTTACCACTTGAGAACGCGGGTTTAGGTCAAGGTTGGCTGCAACAGAGAAGGGGGACCCTGCGGTTCGATGACCTCTTCGTGGTGAGCTGGTGCGTTCGGATATATCGCGGAGGGTGAGGTCTCAAACATATGTCGACAGGATATAGATTCTCGCAATCAAGAAACATGGATCGGGTCTTATGGGGTAGCCGCACTATGCACTTATGACCTGCACACGGAATGTAGGATGGTGTGTATGATGCCATCTGGACCGTGCGCATATCATCCAGTGGACTCATTGTGTCCATCGGGTAGTAAAGTTGGATGGCACGGTTATATATATTGATGCGCTGTTGTGCGTGAGATATAGTACGAGTAGATTTGGGTTTTCTACTTTTTTCTACAAGAAATTACTCCTCGTTATAATTAATTAGTTCTCTCAGCTAGTCAGTTTGTCTTTACATTGCTCTGCCAGTCTGTTTTCCACTCTTCTCCGGGACCACAAAGCCACCATACCCTGACAGCGGGGCCCCCATCTCGATAGAAACGCCAGCAAGTGTCTGAGATTTCGTCCCTCGCATAAAGTTCGATGCACTGCAGCGTGGGCAGCGCGTTAAATAATCGAGTCGGAAGGTCTACTGAGCATGCCCAGCTTTGGCGTATGAATCGAATACATCTAACCCGAGTAGACTGGACAGCGGCAAGAAGCGGTTGCCGCCCTATTTCATCAAGGGATCGCGGATCCCCACGTAGTTCCCAGCAGGTTATGTTGGACAGTATTGGTGCATATTTCGTTATGGCACATTCCGTGTAGGGCGACGAAAGCGTGCGAATAGTATTCACCAATGGCCTCAACCAGGCGAAATCTACAGGGGGGCAAATACTTGCCCATCCTACTCGCAGGGAGGTGAGCGCGCGTCCAGGAAGCCTTCCCGATTCATGATCAGTGTCGACAACGAAACTGAACACGTCCTTCTCGTCTTCCAAGCGGAACGATAAGAGGTTGGGGAGGACCCGAAGGACGATGGCGAGATGTCCATGATATCCCCAATGGTCGTCCGCGAAGATCGAGAGATGTTTGATATGTTTTCGCCGGTACAGACCACCCGTGACGAGGCTACCCAAAAATGAGGCGATGGGACACGGAAGGCGTTCGTTTGACGGTCGAAGTACGACATCTTCGTAAAGAATGGGCTCAGCGATTGTGTTGAACATCGCAGACGAGAAGAGTAGCGCGTGCAGCGTCTTGGTGTCCACCTTTCTGAAAATCATCGTAAGTAGTTCAGGTGGGAGTAGGGACGCCATTTGAAGTTTTTCGAGTTAGAGCCCGGCCTGAGTATTATATACACGACGGAACAAAGCAATGGAAATCAGGACTAACTCAGTGAGTGCATCGCTATCGTGGCGGAGCAATCGATCAATTAAGTGGCCGGGATCACGCTCGACTATCAGTGATGGGACACACTGAGTTGTTGCCAGAACTCGCGATGCGTGCCATCAATTACTGTCAGGATGTACATCTAGTATTTTTCCTAAGTTCATCCTCATTTTCTCTTGTGCACACCGATGTAAAATCCGATGGCTTCTCTAAATGAACACGCCTTCAGAGTTCGCTCTCACCCACTCCAGACAGTCCGAGCTGTGCCTCAGGGAGAATCAAGCTAAGGCGTGGACAACATGTGATGTGAAGTATCGCTACGCATGCAGACATTGCTTGCGTATAAACTCGTCGAACTCGCTTATTCATACTCTGATATTCGGAAAGTGCCGGCGCCGCGGCAAGTTGCAACCAAAAGCGGTTGTAACGCGCGGAACGGAGGACGGAACCGCTACCAAGCAGCGCCGCGTGCGACTGCTTGGACCCGACTTCGCAACGCAAATGAGGGAGGAATGATTCTTGTTGTTGTTGATAGGTATGTCTATATATACCAGTAGTCTATGTAAATAAACACACTGGTTCTGCTAGTAACTAAAGTAATACCTACGAAACAATGTGCCGCAGCAGCTCGTGTTCGAGTGCTCAGACCGAACGAGGAAGTAAACGAAACGATGATATACGTACAAAATACCGTGTATCAATGATTGGACACGGTCCGATCCCTACACTGTTCGCCACGTGTGTTCGGTTTCCGTCTTTCCTTCCTGCTTCGTCTTTTGGTGGGTACACCACACATTCCCAGTCCTTGCATTCACACGGTGAATGCGACTTTGCGCCTACAGCACTGACCTACATGATTGGACTCTAGTTATTGAACATTGGTATACTTATACTAATTTTACTCCCTCCAAATTCATGCTACGCCTATATCTTCTTAATCAAAGAGACTGTCCTGTTATTTATATCAACTGTAAATGCCTAGAAAGTATAAACATGTAGTAGGGGCACCAAAGTTCGAAAGAATTTCCAAGACAATTGTTTGTACAGAGACATTCAAGAAAGTAGACTCGTATTGGCGGAAGTCCAAGGCACCCAGGTTGTATTTCATGGAAGAAATCTCCACAAATTTGTCCGTAGGGTTGAATGCCGTAGGTAGAAGACCCGTATTGCTGAAATAGAATGGCGACCTGAAGCCAGTGACATTATGAAGCGCTAATGTGTGAGCCTCGTCAAGAAGGCCCCAGAGAATGACGTCTCTTGGTGCTCGTTGTGCTGACATTTCGGAAATGATGTCTGGTGCCACATGGTCCAGACTAAACTGGGAAATCACAATTGGCTCTGGCAAATGTACGGCGAGATAGCCATGGGCACCAGTGAATTCCCAGCATTCACCAACACCGATATTGTCTTCCAAAGCCACGTACGGTAGGGCTATGTTCGGCTGCCAAAAGTCAAAGCCTGACAATGATGTAAACATTCGATGTATTGCATCATGCTTGATTAGGCCATGTGTCGTGGAAGTCAATGATGGGATTACTGACGCGCCGGCCGCATGGAGTGCAAAGTTACGGATGGGTGTAGGGGATGTTGGACCATGCAATGATACGTGGGGCGGGGGTACGAGGGGGTCCGTACTCGAGATGGAATGAACCGCGACGAGGTTTCCGATAATCGTAGGTGCGAGCAGATTGCAGGCATTTGGATTGCACGCCAACTTGAGAAGGCCGCGGGCATCATTATTTGCGCAGAAATTTCTAGCGTAATGGCAAATGATAACGGAACCAAAGGTCACACGGGTGGCGGATGGAAGGAGAGGTATCACTGCAACAAGGGCCAGCACGAACAAGAAATTTCGCCCCAAACGGTAGAAGGTTCTTCGGAAATACGGACGCTTTGTGAAACTTCTCAACACCGTGGCTTGTCCATACAATAAATAAGGCTACATACATTTCGTTGGAGTCGAGGCAGTGGAATCATGGCATGTGCCTCGAGCCCGTGCTGGATTGGAGGGTTTCGAAGGAGGTATGTGGGGAACGGCATCAAAGATAATGAACATCGAGCGGCAACTCCGTCAACACTCTTATGATAAAGTATGTTTACTCGTGTTGTTATCTCAGGGAGGAAGTGGCCACTGAGTACCATGAGGTCGTAATGGTCTCGCCACAAAGGACCTGATTGATCATAGCATGAAGAGGTCAATGCATACGGCAATTATAAGGAGTCTTCCACCAGACTGCTGCAGTAATTCTTACTACTATCGTGATGGACACGACAAGTCCCGTCGATTTCAATATGCACCGAACTGAAGAAGATCTGGCCAACGGTCGTGCTCATGTACACAACAAGCGATACGGCGACCATACCCCTCCGACGGGGGTTGATTACGTAGCAAGCAAGAGGCAGAGACGCGACCCGCCACTCCAAGTCCGACGCCGCCGACGCTCTAAATTGCCTCCTTACTGTAAGCTGTCCTCGCGAACAACGAAATCAGGGACTGACACTGTTGTACAAGATAAACTGTGTTTCAACGAAGATTTACTGGGCAGGGTTTCTGAGAGGAATTACCCGCCTGTGTTACCAGGCGACTTCGTCATTTGGAAACAACAAATAAACTCACACTCGAGATATTTCGACGATGATGATGTCCAAATGGAAGATATGGGTGATCCGCGATATGAACATAGCATCCCGCCTGGAGGGGGTGCACCAGCGAACAAGCAAGGTACCGAAGATGCATCGGGTTGGGGCGGGATCAACAGGGGAAACCAAGGACAGCAAGGGAACAGTCTCGAGAATGCGTCAGCGTGGGATGGGATCAACGGGCAGCAATGTGCCGAGGATGCGTCGAAGTGGAGCGGAATCAACAGGCAGCAATGTGCCGAGGATGCGTCGAAGTGGGGCGGAATCAACAGAGCTACTCGATCTCAAGAGCAACAAAGTAGATCCGCGGCGCGCAATGGGGAAAGGTCTCATCAAGAAGATGAGTCTATGTTAGCAGACGACGAAGAGGAGTTTTGCGAAGGTAGTTGCATATGGGAGTACAAAGATTCAGCTCATCGTAGGAAAGTACGCGATCAGCGCAGCGATTTCGTAAGAGCCTCACCCAACCTTCCTTCCTCAGCCAAGGCTCATCCCCCTTTCATTTTCAAATTTCAGGAATTTGTCTGCAAGCGACTGAAGCAAACACCAGTGAGTGATCGAACGCTGCCTGTTACTTGCATCGCTCAATCAAATTGTAGAATACAGCAGCGACGTTTCAAGACTTGTTGGGAGTTATGCAGGTTACGAGGCCTCTTCGCAGCCCTGAACCCTCTTTGCCCACACCGGATGCAAGTCCTCGGCGACCCAAAACGACAAGGAGAACAAAGAGACCACAGCAAGCTAGTGACGATGAAGATCGTTGCTTTGATCCTGTCAAACGCGATTCGTTTCAAGTCCGGCTACATGTAAGCAGGTCGCTCTTCTTCCTCGAGAGTTTTCTGACTTCCTGGAAGGCCGAACTGAGAGATTATTGCGATATGACACTGCTGCAATTAACGAAAGTTGATCCAAGGCCCCTTACTACTCCGACAGCAGACGAGATCGAAAAGTTCCGTCGCGATCCTCGTCTCGCCCCCGGCCCAGATCTTGCGTCACTTCGACTCGACTTGAAATCCACAAACTGGGAGTCATCCGTCTGGAACCTTGCAGCTGCTGACATGATCGCGGATGAATTTGTCCAGGATGAGGAGTACCAATGCAAAAACAAAAGAATGGTCCGCGAAGCTTTCAGGAAGCATTTAAGACAACTAAGAGATCGCTATCGCAGACAAGAGTGGCAAAGGACCAATGATAAGGAGGCAGAGGTGAATGAAGCCCGGTCGTTACGCAATCTTCGCAGATCTAATCGACGACGGTCGGTGGGTTTTATTCTGCAATTGCATCGTTTATTTTTCCTAACTCATTAACAACAGCTACGAGAGCGCCGCATCAAAGGGATTAGGGCCTACCAACGTATCGCCGCGAAGACTGACCAATACGAGAAGCTAAGTCAGTTTGAGAAATTGTTAAGCGAAATGCCACTAGATGCTATGAGTGGGGATGAATCGGACCATGGGGTGTTTGTGAGGAAGAAATTACCTTGGCGTTCCCCCGATACCAAGGTCCTCGAGTGGTTTCGTGTCCTTGATGGGTTATACCTGTCCACTCGTTTCGCCGACAACGATAAACCAATCCCCGGGGCATTTCCAGCTCAACGACTCCTCCCGAACGGTATCCTTTACGATGCCAACCCCGTGCCGCGGCTCCCGATAAATTTATATGATCCTGCTTATCTAAACGGGCTTGACGAATACGGGATGGCTCGTCTTGCTCCTCAGAAGGCAATAGATCTCAGCTTTCCTCCCCAACTGCAACTGTAAGCGAACTACTTGATTGCGCCCGTACTCGTTACTAATGTTACTACTACAGCGTAGCCGCTAGGTTTAGCGGTGTTCATAGTGGAAACAGGAAGCCGTTGCCTCGTGATCATCCGTCGCTCCGAAACTACCGCTCAAGCTAGTGCTGGCATCTGGTATCCTTACCGCAATTTTATGTAGATATGCTTGGATAGCAATTGCAGTTCGGCGTGATGGACACAAGGGCTGATATATATACGCGATAGCTCAATAGTGATAAATTGCAGAGTACGATTATGTTGGTTCGCTTGGTTTGTGAACTGACCAGCCGCGAATCTAGCTGATAATAAAGCCTGAGAGCATCTGGGCTATGATCATTGAACTGATCACAGCTCAACATGAGTTCATCTATGATTGCAATCTTTGATTCCTATCTACTTGGGACATGCTGAGCAGGCGAAGTATTCTACGAGTGGTTCATATGTGGACATTGTGACGACGGTTGTCCATCCATAGTACCCCTGATTCGTCAACCACTTAGGCCTTTTTTATTTGTTATCCCTACCTGCTTTCGCACATCAATTCGCTTTGATGTACCATTCGTTCATATACCATCGCATCGCTATCGATTTGCTTTCCTTTTGTTTTGTTCCACTCGAGTTTTCATGGTATTCACTTATACTTTCATTCCTTGGCACAATTGTTCGTAAAACATCTGATGTGCGACATCGCTTCTGCTTAGACCATTTCTTCTTTCATCGTCACTGCACAAGTTGCAGTCCAATGCTTTCAGTAATGCACGGACGTCTACTATGATTATCTCGAACCACCGCAATAATATGGTCTCCCCTGACCGCTAGGGCACACATTAGAACCAGATGATATAGGCAATGATGGGCACGGATATGCTGACTTCGTGAATACGTCAAAGTTGTACTGTGCGTGGATAAATATACGGTACGGACATACACCGCCAATCATTTCGGCTCTTAGTGGGAGAGTTGGCCGGCTTCTCTTGCCGTGCTCCGGAGCCAACGACGCATTGACTTCAGGCCAAGCGCTGTTTGATCACCGGTCTCCGAGAATCTCCGGCCATTCTTGGGCTCTCTCGGAGAGATCCCAGCGAGCTATTCCAGAGATTCTAATACAGATAACATAGTGACATAGGCGGAGTACTACGGAGAAACTGCAACACCTTCGGCTGCTGCTTTATTACGTGCACGAGTGGCCTTCGCCTTTGCTATCGCTTCCGCTCGTTTGGCTGGCCCAGACTTTCGTAGCTTCGAGGCCGCCTCGCGATGCAACGCACTGCGGTCCTTCCGTTCGCTCGTTTTTGCTTTCACTCATTCTCCATTTTTGCTCCGTTCCTTCCAACTGTCTCCACACTCCTTTCAAAGACTCGGATATTTCAACTTCCTTTGCTGTTCCGCGATGGCAGATGTCGATGATTATTTGAACATGGACTTAACCTCCTCTCCTCCTCGTTCAAATTCACCACCTCGCACTTCCTCACCGCTCGGTTCCAGACCCACCTCACCAACTCCAGCCACTCTTGATCTTCAGGAGCAGCCGATCAATATCACATCTGCTCGCAAGCGCCCAGCTGAGGACAGTTCAGCTTTCGTGGATACTGTCGTGCGATCCTACAAACTACCAAAAACTGAAGCCGATGACCTGTCAGCATTCGCAAGGGTGAGTTTTCTCACTACATTATGCTTTGCAATAATCAAAATTTGTCATGCCAGTACACTCCGATGCAACAGCGCATTGTCCTTGCCGGAAGCCTGCTTAGCTTGCACTCGAAAGTCGCCAAAATTGACCCGCCGGATGCGGTTTTTGTGATTCCGACTCGGCTTGCAGTTTGTTTCAACATCTTTCCTCAAACTTCCTTATTGCTGATGATGAATGGGTTTCTAGAAGAAGTGTGATATCGTTGTATTCCGCACTCTTCTTGATCCTAACCTTTCGGCATATGTCAATGACGACATCCCGGTTAAGAAAGCCTTGGTATGTGCACAATCAACCCTTGCCAGTTATTGCTGACTGGAATGTGTGCTTAGGCTGCTCTCGAAGCGAATCCTGCCTGGGGATTTACCAAGGAAATGAAGAACTGTGAGAATAAGTACCACGCAATTGCGAGCAAGCTGCGTAAGAAGTTTAATGATGGGCGGCATGACATGAAGGGACTGGTGAGCTCCGTGTTTTGCTTATGTTTGCAGCAATTGAATCTTCGTGATAGCTGGTGCCGTCGACTGGACAAGCTGACCCAGAGGATCCGACCAAGCGCGTTCAAGCGATCAACATCGTCGACCTTTGTGATAGCTTGATCGAGCTTAACGAAAGTGCCGTCAAAGCTACCACCGTGGAGCTGTGCGGGCGGGTTGCCTTCTTGGTGTGTTGATTCACTTTGAGGCATTCTGATATTCATATGGTGCATGGACAGCGCCTTGTAGCTTCCCATCCACCATCCGCAGGCACAAATTACTGGAAAATTGTCGATAAAAAGCTCGCCGATGCATGCAAGAAGCATAAATCTGCACGGGCTTTGTCCAAGTGAGGTTTTTTCACAACTATTCTCTGATCTAATTCTTACAACCCTTTGATAAGGTTTTTCGGCAAGATTCTTGAAGACGACATGAAGAAGTATGGAGAAATTAACATTTCCACAGCAGTTCGAGATCGTCAATCCGCTGGTTTAGAATCACACGAACACACTGACGAGGAAGACAATGATTGAGCCGCATCTGCGCTGGTCCCCGCCTGTGTCCCGATTTCTCGTATCCATTGCACGCCGGCGCCACCCCGCCATCCGAAGCCTCACTCTTTACATTCGAAAACTTCTAATTGCACTTGAATATGTCTATTATGAATGCCTCGCCATGTCTATAATGATCTATACAATAAAATAAAGATTAATGTTGATCCCAAACCCTGATTCGTGTCACGGCGTGCAAAGAACCAGAATCCCTGGCCAAGGATGAGATCATAAAGCAAGCCACGGAAGGACGTGGCAATGGTCTATTGATCTCAGTCAGAGATATGACCAACAACTGGCTGAGATTCATAGCCTGAGATTTTGGGGAGAGTCTCGTCAGAGCTCCTACCGATAGCCCTCTCGAGGGCTATCCCATGATGGAGGAAACTGCTCTTCCAGGGATCTCTTCGGGAGACTGGGCGCTCTCATAGCCCATATCTGGCGACTGTTCCACACGGTTCTCACGTGGACATCCCAAATAATTGGCGGTGTAGGAGGAGGAGAAGGGCCCCAAAATGCCGAACGCGCTTATTCATACTCTGATTTTCGGGATGTGCCGGTGCCGCGAAACACGGCGCAAGTTGTAACCAAAGGCGGTTGTAACGAGGGGCGTGGGAAATGACTGACGATGTACAACCAAAAGCGGTTGTAACGAGTGAGCCAAGGGCGCTATGGATCGACCGGCAACTTGCGAAAATGTAGCACAAAAGTCACCACGCTGCGTGGTTCACCTTTCCCCCAATCTGCATCCTTACAACTTTCGCTGTCGGTTTTCCGCCTTCAGTAGTTATTCACGATATAGCTACTTACTTACATATATCTCTCTGCGTAGACTCGCTTGTTTTGATGTTCGCAAAGTGTACGATGCTCGCAGTGCGTATACTGCCTACAATGCTTGGAATGCGTAGACCACCCGAATGCGTGCGCTATCCGCAATGTGTACGATATGTACGATGCCCAGGGTACGTAGACTCCCTTATGATGTTTAGGATGCCTACAAATTCTACACTGTCTACGCTGCCTACTCCCCTTATGATGCCTAGAACGCGTAAGCTGCGTACAGTGCTTAGAATGCGTAGGCTTCGTACGACGCACAAATTGCCTATTGGCTTTATGATACGTACACTCTCTGCGAGCCCTTTGTCACGCACAATGCTGAGCGGACGCGTGCACGAGGTATGCGGACAAAGCAAACCAGTGGCTCCGAAGGAAAAAGCGTAAAGGTATATAAGCAGTCCGATGCGTTGCCTCTTCATTCTTCCCTCCCTTTGATCCATTTACGATTGTAACTTTCGTCAAGGACTAATCTTGCTCTAATGTCCTTGACTTACGCCATCGAGCACAACATCAAGGTTGGGGCAGGGGACCACATTAAATGCTTGGCATTTTCGTCCAAGGATACTCATATTGCGGCTGGCATTGGGTCCTCAGTTTATATTTGGGAGTTGCCCAACGCAAATTTGACTCTAAACAGTCCCATTGGCAGCCCTGTCACGGTTTTGAAGTGGTTCGGCGAGAATCTTTTACTTGCGGGATCTCTTGGCGGAGCTCTCGTCATGTACGAAATGGAAACCAGTAAAAAGGTATGCCACCTTTACGATTTTTCAATAGTAACTCATGTCCTCTCAGCTCGTAAACGTTTCCATCGTAGCTATGCCCGGTAGCACAATAACACATCTTGCATTCTCGCCAAACATGCGTAAATTGGTGGTGGGCGGTGGCCACACGGTAACCGCTTGGGCTCGGCAACGCCCAACGAAGGACAACCTTTGCTTCCAGTGGAAATACCACACTGTACTGCCAGACCCAATTGCGGGTGGCAACCACCTCGAACTGAAGGCCGAGGTGTCTGGGCTCCACTTCCTGGATAACGAGCAAGTGGTCATCTGTTATCGCCAACAATATGGCATTCGGTACGTTCGTGGTTAGTGAAGTTCATTGGTGTTGACTTGGTCTCTCAGTTTATATAATTTCAAAACTGGAAAAGTCAGCCAGTGCGGAATACCCCACGATGCTCCCATGTACGTTAGAGCGTTCCGTATCAAGCTGGCATACCTAACTACATGTCGCTCAGTGACGCCATTTTCATCACTCCAGATGGCTCGCGCGTTATGACTCCCAACCATCAATCAGGCTTCAATGTATACGACATGCAGAGCGGCGGGCATTATCATCACTTTGCTTTACACGCGCAGGAATCCCACTCTCCACTTCCTGGAACCTTCATCCATGCCGGGACTGTCCTTGTCGGAGGCTACAACAATGAAATTGCCATGTGGCACGTAGGCAGCAAGCATCGTCTGCCGTCCGTTGAGGTAAACGGTGCCGAGCTTATTGTTGTAAGTGGTGTGATTACACTCCCTACATAACGTGGCATTGAGTCCGTTCTTCTAGAGCAACCGTGCTGCTGAAATAGGGGACGACGGTGAGACACCCCTCAGGCTTGCAGTTGCTACTACGTCTTCCTTCACAATACTCCGTGCCGAGCAGATAGGTACGGACGCCTCCAGGAGAGTATCTACTTTATCTCTTTTGCTGGAGAACTACACGGACGAACTTGTTCTTGTCGTCATCGTCCTTGGCATTGTCGGCGTTTGTCACTGGCAGAGTGTACGATTGCCTGAACTCTGGTCCTTGAGCGTCTGAACATCTTTTGGGGGACGAGCTGCCGTGGAACAGTCATTTCGAAATTATGTTCTATTACTATTTTCAATAGTATAAATCTTATACTGTCGTCTTGATATAAGACATGCTCTAGGTTCGGCTATGATCCTAGGATACTTAAATGCCTACGCTGCCTATGCTGCCTACGCCGCTGTAAATAGGGGCCCACACTGGGTTGATAGGCATGAAACCGGGAGGCATTCGTGATGTATTTGTACCGGCACATCTTGCTTACAATCTCAATCCGCACAAGGGGAAGGATATTAATATGAGTTAGTGACCTTGTTCCTTTAAACGTATTCGACTCACAGACTTGATAGCATTTGAGCTGGTAGAAATAATATCAGCACGCGGAGATGAGTAGATGAGTACTCCAACTTGACTAATCAGAATCATGTAGTTTAGTGCTGTCATCCACTATGTGTTGTTTTCAATATGGAAGCTGTGCTGTACGTGGTCGAATCTACGCTAATGGTGATCGGACGTGGGAGGAAGAGAAAGGCCTACAAACTGTTGAACTCGCTGATTTGAATTCATATTCAATATTCGGATTGTGCTGAGGTAAGTTGCAACCAAAATTGGTGTGTAGGAATGCGTAAGCACCCATGGAGCGCTGTAGGGATCGGACCGTACATAACTTCCGATACATGGTTTGTCGTACATATTCTATCATTTCGTTTACTTCTTGATTTGGTCCGTTATGAGCTGCGGCCGCATTCATTCTTAGGTATTATCTTACTTACTTACACATGCACATTCTGCATGCCTAGTTACATCTACCTATAGTATAAAGTAAGAAGGAAAGAGGGAACGCAATCCGAACGCCATATAACGATTGGTGCGACCAAAAGCGGTTGTAGCGATTGTTGCGACCAAAAGCGGCTGTAGCAATTGGCGCAACCAAAAGCGGCTGTAGCAATTGGCGCAACCAAAAGCGGCTGTAGCGATTGTTGCGACCAAAAGCGGCTGTAGCAATTGGCGCAACCAAAAGCGGTTGTAGCGATTGTTGCGACCAAAAGCGGCTGTAGCAATTGGCGCAACCAAAAGCGGCTGTAGTTGGTCCTGGGCGCTACGGATCGATCGGCAACTTGCGAAAATTTGCCATAAACGTATAGCCTGCGAGGTCTGTTGGCTTCTTTCCCTCCCACTTGCATCCTCACTTCAAATGTGGTTTCCCACCTTGTACATCTATACGATAGCCACGTAATATATTTTTCAACGTAGACACGCTTGTTTTGATGTCAGTTTGCACTTCTGAAGCTCACACGTACGGAGGTCAGAATGCTAAAGCACGCGGTTGGTGATGCCCAAGACAGATACGATGCCTACGATGCGTAGGCCACTGGTGATGCGTAGGCCCCTTACAAGGCTCAGGGTACGTACGCTGCGTATGCTTGTGTGGGGGTTAATAGAGAAAGTATGACCCCAAAGCGAAGCAATATAATCGGACCCTCATACTTGCGTGCGTCCAAATGGAATGCGTAGACCACCTGAATGCGTAGGCCACCTACGGTCTTGCCTTATCAGATCTGATGATTGAAATCCCGCTTCTGAGCTCATGTTTCTTTCGATTCGTCAAATCTTGGAAGGTGGAGCGCGGAACGCGCTTCGATTTGAACGTTCACATCCTCAAGGCCTCATGTACATTTTCATTAGGACCCCAGTTCGTGAAATGGAAGTATGACACTTAGCAGTCTTTTTCTATTCTACGCAAGTTACAGCTGTGCAGAACGTACGTTTCTGCTGCGGAAGCTCTAGAAACAATCGTTCTGCGCAGGGGATCAAACCGAACCTCGATTCCTTGCGTAATGGTCATGACTCATACAAATACGCTCGCCCCATCATCTCCTCGTTGTCGTCGGCGTTCTCGGAGTGCACGTGTAAGCCAGTCATCGTCGGGCCGGAACCGCCAAGACATCCGAGGAGACGCGATCCCGCGCCGAGCCGTTCACCTATCGTCAAGTTTGAATGTTCCAATCTCGATGTTTGAACGTTTGAACCCCCAAGGCCTCATGCCCCCCGCGGGTCGTACGATAACTTCGTTTTCTCTCGTCCGCTCGCTGTTTCTGCTCACGAACAAACGTTCCAGAAGCACTCATTCTGCGCTGGAAGATACCAACCAGTGTACATTTAATCTGAACCCCAATAGAAGTTCAATACTGATTCTGACTCATGTACCGTTCTGAGTATAAATACCAATACTGTGTGTCCCAAGTAAACATTTCACTGGTTCACCAAGGTGTCGTCAATAGACAGCGTCCAAGAGGTAGAGAAATCGAGTGAGTTATTCCGTTATTGCCCTTATGTTGGCGGACGGCTCTCAAGGGTTTATCAGCTACCAGACGCAAACTCTTTGTGGCATCTCCTCCCCATTTTCAAAGTATGCATTCATGCCTTTCAGCATTGCGCATTCGCTGATATTCGAATAGCGCGTCGCGGCGCAGGCTCGCACAACGATATGCCAAGACAAGATCATCGTCGCCGCAGGGGCGCGGACACCACAAGCCGTTCGAGCAGCCGTAGGGCAGATAGCGTCATGCGTACGAGATGCGATCCAGATGACGATGCACCAAGACGAAGGCAGCGAAGTTCCGAAAGGATATCCATGTCTGGTAGAAGTGCTAGTAGATATCTAACAAGAAGTAGATCAATGCACCGTTCTAGAGGACGAACCCATTCGCGGAGATGGCATCGTAACTCAGGACACGGATGTGACAGCACGTCAAGGAGTTCCAGCAGAAGTTCAGCAGGAAGGAGGTCACGGCACCGTGTTAGAGGACGAAGCCATTCACGGCACCATAGCCCACCGCCCAGAGATAGCAGCCGCCGGTTGACCGGCTCTACAGGACACGCTTTGGGCACATCAAGGCACACGCAGCGGAGAAGCTCGCCGAGGACACCCGTTTCTCGAGGGAACGCTAGGAGAAGTCGAAGGGAAAGTCGACCAAGGCGTCACGGGCGTCACAGTGGCAGTCGAGCTAGGTTTGGCCCGCGCGACTTGCATGACGGCTCTCCCAGACGGCGTGGAAGAACCTTGGAGAGGACGCCTGTCCCTGGGAGGAGCCCCGGTAGGAAAGCGAGAAGTAGACTAAGCCATCACGACGACAACGACGACAGTCGAGCTAGGTTTGGCCCGCGCGACTTGGATGGCGGCTCGCCCAGACGGCGTGGAAGAACCTTGGAGAGGACGTCTGTCCCTGGGAGGAGCCCCGGTAGAAGCCCCAGTAGGGGGAGAGCGAGAAGTAGGCCAAGGCACAGCTCAAAAGGACGGAGTCACCTATCGAGTTTGGACGACTGCTTGGCCAGGACTGGATCCATTGCCGGCGGTCAACTTACAACTATGCTAGGACATGACACTGCTTTATTATCAACGAGTCCAACCACCCTTCGCCAATCGATACCACGTACAACAACACCTGGACCTGACACTGCTTTATTACCCAAATCAAGGAGTCCATCTACCCTTCGCGAGCCAATACCACGTACATTCAGTCCATCCCCGCGGGATAAATCCAATTCCCCCCACCGTGCTGCCCAACGTAGTAGTCGTTCTTGGTGGACTGATAAAGAACGCAAAACAGTGCTAGGGTTCAAACTGCCCCGTATGATCGTAGAACTTCGCAGACGCTTTATCGCCCGGTTGCGCCCTTTCCTCCCGCTTGCAGACGACCATCTTCCTTGGAACTCGCTCCCATATCTCTGTGCTACGAATGCGATACAAATCGCCGGCATACCAGACTCATGCCCCTTCCCAGGCTATGATAGCAACTCACGAGGCGTATCGGGACTCCCAGCCAGGTTCGTCAAGCTGTATCTAAAATATTTGCCTAGGACACAAACACAGGGAATAGTCTGCAGAAGGTTGGAAGGAGAAGAACGTCAACGTGAGTGGGGTTGATCAATATGCACTACTGCTAGCTGATGTTTCCATAGTTGCAAGAGTCGGTAAAGTGCCTATCATGACCTGTGGTGCCCCTCGCCATCCTTCAGGCCATACACATGCGAAGCGTTTGTTTGTGAAGGACGGCACGATGTGGATAGATCGAGGCGGCGAGCCACGCCTGCAGCCTTCTGACGAGGAAGACAATGATTCCGATCATGTACCCTCAGATGACCAACGTGTCAAGAAGCTCAGACGTATATCCCCCCCCAGTGACGATGGATCAAATAGCCCTACCGACGTCTTCCATGACGAAGACACAAGCTCGGATGAGGGTTCCTCAAAGACAGACGACGACCAGCAGACAGGTGTTAGCAAGAGGCGCAAGCGGGAGGCGGAGGGACATAATATAGAATCTATCCGCCCAGTCAAAAAACCGAAAAAGGCTGGTAGGGTAGAGGGACGTATATCCCCCCCCAGTGACGATGGATCAAATAGCCCTACCGACGTCTTCCATGACGAAGACACAAGCTCGGAAGAGGGTTCCTCAGAGACAGATGACGACCAGCAGACAGGTGTTAGCAAGAGGCGCAAGCGGGAGGCGGAGGGACATAATATAGAATTCATCCGCCCAGTCAAAAAACCGAAAAAGGCTGGTAGGGTAGAGGCACAGGAGATCGGACGGAGGGGAATGGTTCTTCGGAGTCATAAGGCCTCGCCGGTGTCCCAAATCGACGCTGCGAGCGCAGTCAACAACATATCGCATCGCACCAGAAATCCTGACAAACATTGCCGCTGTTCCATCTGTCACAGGGCCTCAGAGTCCGGGAAATCATAGGAGACACACGCGGTCATATTTTTTAGTTTCCATTGACGATGTACACGTAGCCACATTTTGCTTTTGTACAAAACCTGGTTGAAATTTAAACCTGGATATGATAAGTACGTTTTGCCACTGGGTATTAGTCATCTGTGCAAACTGTGTGGAATGATGGGCGCTCCGGACTCGGCAAACTGCGAGTCTTACCCATTCGGAAGTAACGAACGCCTAGCCCTTGTTTGGTTGTAACTCCAGTCATGTCGCACGATGAGTATGCCATTCAACAGGAGCCTTGCAGACTGTTCAAGAAGTCGTTGCCCGCCAGGATCAAGAAAGCGATTTCGATTTGCTGCGATTGTGCTGTCAAGAAACCCGAACTGTGCCGGTTTGTTGGTGAGTTGCATTGCATCCATCGGATTGAATGAACTGCTACGAGTCGCAAACAGGCCTCCGCCGCGTCAACACCGCGAAGGAAACAGTTGACTTCTTCGGTGGAGGGTATACATACTACAATCGATTCCAGTATCATTCAGCTTTCCACACCCCACCCACACGTGAGGAACTCCTGAAAATTAAGGTATGATCAGGGTGTGGTCGGCATTTAGAAGTTCTGACAGGTAGGACCAGAGAGTGTTATCCGAATGTCTTGCGTCGAAATTGAAGCAAGAACTCGATCATATCGCGGGTCAAGATGTAGTTCTAGCACGGTGTAGAACTATGGACATCAAGTTAGAGTGCGGTATGTATACCATTAAGCCCTCTTTTTCACGAGCTCATTCATTCGCTTCAAGATAAATGTTGCTGGGCCTTCTGCATAATTGGCTACATCTGTACTGACTGTGGGAAGGAATTTTGTCCTCCATGTGTTGCAGATGGTCGCCCAATATGCTCTCACTCCAACTCTCTCCGTCTTTTTTCCATGATCGACCCCAAGGACTTACGGTCGTTGATACATGACATGGAAGAGGTAAACATGCAACCCCTTCCCTCCTGGACGCACGATTTCACCAAGGAAATCGACCCGCTGATGCGCACCATTCCAACACTGGCGCCGAATCCCACCATGGCCGATTTCGACGTAGCTTGGGCCCCGGGTGTCCCTCTGTTGATCGAAGCTACCCCGGAGCCTGGGACTTTGCACCGATGGACAAAAGAAAAACTCGTCTACTTGTTCGGCTCAAATCCTTGCCAGATCGAGGATTGCGAAACAGATGGTGAAGAAGACACCACTGTGGCCACATTTTTGGAGATGATTTTCGGTTCAAATGTCTGTACCCGACCTCTGAAGCTCAAAGTAAGTAAGATCCTTTCATAATCAAACTACCTCGATGACACGATTTCAAGGACTACCCACCCAATTCCACGTTTGCGGCAGAATTCCCTACTCTGTGCCGGAGTTTTCAATACAATCTCCCCTTCCCTGCCGTGACAACTTTCCATGGCGCCCTCAATATCACAAACTATTTCCCTCCTGCCTACAAGGTCGCACCTGACCTCGGCCCAAAGGCTTATATTGCCACCGCCAACGATTCCGATCCGAGAACTAACCAAGGCACAACTCGATTACACATGGACCTTTGCGATGCTGCCAACTCCATGCTGCCAGTTGACAAAGATTCAGCGGCCCTTTGGCACGTCTTTGCTCCTGAAGACGCATCCAAGCTTCAGGAGTTTCTTTGCTCAAAGCATCGCGACACATCAAAAAACCACATCCATGCGCAACTCACTTATCTAACGCCTGAAGACCTAGTCAAGCTAGAGAAAGACTTTGGTGTACGTCCTTACGCCTTCACCCAGAAGGCAGGCGAGACGGTGCTTATACCCACTGGTTGCGCACATCAGGTAAGAAAGATCGAATAAATGTGCGTATCATGGATCATACAACTCGATATGCAGGTTCGGAATCTCACAGCATGTGCAAAAATAGCTGTAGACTTCCTCTCCTCACACAGTGTTAAGCGGTGTACAGAGGTGTCCGAACAACTGCGGGAAGAAGGTGTTCATGGCAAGAAAGATACCCTTGAGTTCTGGAACCTCATGCTCCATGCCTGGTTTGCTGTTGACTTGGTGGACGTCGCCAATCCGGAGTCACAAGTCTATAATTCCGCTGGGCATCTTGGGGGTGTTGTTCATGATGATGATCCCTCTCTTCCTGCTGAACACCCATCTCCTCATCTTCAAGGACAACTCGCAATGGATCCCATGGTCCCGACCAGTGACCCAGTTCATCGTCCCGAACAACATCTCCACGAACCTGCATTGCACCCCCAGCCTAACACCCACGAAAATGGACATCCATCCAGCGACAACATACCTCCGCGAATTGAAGATCATCCCAGTGACTTTGCGATGCGTCTCATAGACGACTCTGGCACCAACGAACCGACGACTTCGGGTGATTCTTTCCAGTTTGTCATGCGGGCTCATTCAGGGGCTGTTGTTGAGCGCAAGGAGAAGAAATGTGCCAAGTGCCAAAGATCTTGGAGAGAGTGCAAAGGTGCCAACGACCGATCAAAGTGTCGTGAGCCATGCCCTCTCTGCAAAAAGGTTGAGTGTCTCGGCCCGGATTCATTGAAACCACAACAATGCGGGCAGCCAAGGAAGAGGAAACGAGGGTAGTGGTAAACTAGGAACGTAACAACATCTAACCACATCATCTTCTCTGCGAGTTTGATCTTTGATATTGTTTTGCATACATTGCGGAATATGATGACTCACATTTGCTGGCATTATTGCATTCAAGACCTCCACTGAATCCTCCGCCGCCATCGGCCCCGATGTTTCAGCGACACGGTCTATCAAGCATCAACAAGCACCACCCGTACCATGGCCAGTGACTACAATCTCGACAATGTTTTCTGTCCCCGGGTCTTTGCGCGCCGCCTGGATGGCAGATGCCTTAATGCCCTTGAAGAGCCCCCTAGATTCGCCCTGCAACCGCTTTTCTGCTTGTGAGTAAGAGTACGCAAATCGTCCGAAGCATGCATAGGGCCCAAGCAAGAACCAACTGTTTCGTTGATGGCCAATAAGCAACGTAGCCCAGACGCTTGGCCACCTTCCCCCTGAAAGCAGGGACCAGTTTGGAGTTTGCGACGGCACTGTAACACTCGAAGGCAAACAGGGGCTGTACCAATCGATAGCATAGAGAGTATGACTTTGAACTGTCACAAAACTATACAATTTCAGCGAACTGGACTAGTCATGGTTGAACCGTGAATGCCATTAATATGACGACTGTCGCTTTGGCACAAGTTGCAACCAAGAGGCGGATCATTTTTACATCCATTTTTGGCGCAAACTAGCACGGACCGCTCGGCGCGAGTGCGTTGCAACCAAAAGTGGATGCATTTGAGTATATCCGTTCTTGGTGCAAACAATCATCACGGTATCCATTGTATACATGTACACCGCCAATTATTTGGGATGTCCACGTGAGAACCGTGTGGAACAGTCGCCAGATATGGGCTATGAGAGCGCCCAGTCTCCCGAAGAGATCCCTGGAAGAGCAGTTTCCTCCATCATGGGATAGCCCTCGAGAGGGCTATCGGTAGGAGCTCTGACGAGACTCTCCCCAAAATCTCAGGCTATGAATCTCAGCCAGTTGTTGGTCATATCTCTGACTGAGATCAATAGACCATTGCCACGTCCTTCCGTGGCTTGCTTTATGATCTCATCCTTGGCCAGGGATTCTGGTTCTTTGCACGCCGTGACACGAATCAGGGTTTGGGATCAACATTAATCTTTATTTTATTGTATAGATCATTATAGACATGGCGAGGCATTCATAATAGACATATTCAAGTGCAATTAGAAGTTTTCGAATGTAAAGAGTGAGGCTTCGGATGGCGGGGTGGCGCCGGCGTGCAATGGATACGAGAAATCGGGACACAGGCGGGGACCAGCGCAGATGCGGCTCAATCATTGTCTTCCTCGTCAGTGTGTTCGTGTGATTCTAAACCAGCGGATTGACGATCTCGAACTGCTGTGGAAATGTTAATTTCTCCATACTTCTTCATGTCGTCTTCAAGAATCTTGCCGAAAAACCTTATCAAAGGGTTGTAAGAATTAGATCAGAGAATAGTTGTGAAAAAACCTCACTTGGACAAAGCCCGTGCAGATTTATGCTTCTTGCATGCATCGGCGAGCTTTTTATCGACAATTTTCCAGTAATTTGTGCCTGCGGATGGTGGATGGGAAGCTACAAGGCGCTGTCCATGCACCATATGAATATCAGAATGCCTCAAAGTGAATCAACACACCAAGAAGGCAACCCGCCCGCACAGCTCCACGGTGGTAGCTTTGACGGCACTTTCGTTAAGCTCGATCAAGCTATCACAAAGGTCGACGATGTTGATCGCTTGAACGCGCTTGGTCGGATCCTCTGGGTCAGCTTGTCCAGTCGACGGCACCAGCTATCACGAAGATTCAATTGCTGCAAACATAAGCAAAACACGGAGCTCACCAGTCCCTTCATGTCATGCCGCCCATCATTAAACTTCTTACGCAGCTTGCTCGCAATTGCGTGGTACTTATTCTCACAGTTCTTCATTTCCTTGGTAAATCCCCAGGCAGGATTCGCTTCGAGAGCAGCCTAAGCACACATTCCAGTCAGCAATAACTGGCAAGGGTTGATTGTGCACATACCAAGGCTTTCTTAACCGGGATGTCGTCATTGACATATGCCGAAAGGTTAGGATCAAGAAGAGTGCGGAATACAACGATATCACACTTCTTCTAGAAACCCATTCATCATCAGCAATAAGGAAGTTTGAGGAAAGATGTTGAAACAAACTGCAAGCCGAGTCGGAATCACAAAAACCGCATCCGGCGGGTCAATTTTGGCGACTTTCGAGTGCAAGCTAAGCAGGCTTCCGGCAAGGACAATGCGCTGTTGCATCGGAGTGTACTGGCATGACAAATTTTGATTATTGCAAAGCATAATGTAGTGAGAAAACTCACCCTTGCGAATGCTGACAGGTCATCGGCTTCAGTTTTTGGTAGTTTGTAGGATCGCACGACAGTATCCACGAAAGCTGAACTGTCCTCAGCTGGGCGCTTGCGAGCAGATGTGATATTGATCGGCTGCTCCTGAAGATCAAGAGTGGCTGGAGTTGGTGAGGTGGGTCTGGAACCGAGCGGTGAGGAAGTGCGAGGTGGTGAATTTGAACGAGGAGGAGAGGAGGTTAAGTCCATGTTCAAATAATCATCGACATCTGCCATCGCGGAACAGCAAAGGAAGTTGAAATATCCGAGTCTTTGAAAGGAGTGTGGAGACAGTTGGAAGGAACGGAGCAAAAATGGAGAATGAGTGAAAGCAAAAACGAGCGAACGGAAGGACCGCAGTGCGTTGCATCGCGAGGCGGCCTCGAAGCTACGAAAGTCTGGGCCAGCCAAACGAGCGGAAGCGATAGCAAAGGCGAAGGCCACTCGTGCACGTAATAAAGCAGCAGCCGAAGGTGTTGCAGTTTCTCCGTAGTACTCCGCCTATGTCACTATGTTATCTGTATTAGAATCTCTGGAATAGCTCGCTGGGATCTCTCCGAGAGAGCCCAAGAATGGCCGGAGATTCTCGGAGACCGGTGATCAAACAGCGCTTGGCCTGAAGTCAATGCGTCGTTGGCTCCGGAGCACGGCAAGAGAAGCCGGCCAACTCTCCCACTAAGAGCCGAAATGATTGGCGGTGTAGATGCCATAGCTATGCATACAATATATAGGATGCCCCACTGTACCTCATCTAGTCTCTACGGTTCATTCGATGTTTACGACTTTACGACGCTGGGCTGCGTATTCTTATCTCACACTTCAATTGTGTTCCCCACCACCGACCTTTTCGCACCAAACGACATCCAACACTCCTCAACTGACCCTTCGAGTCCCCAATATCAATCGCCACCTCAACTCGACCGCTGACTACCCCAGCGTTCATGTTATACGTGTCGTAGGCGTCGTACGCTGCGTATCTATCGTAGGTAGAGAGCAACTTACGGGTTGCTGTTCGTGGAGAGATCAATGCCGGTAATGACGCGATAACGGCACAGGTGATGGGGAGGAGGAGAAAGGCTCGCGAACGTTGAACTCGCTAACGAACGAACACTGATATACGGAATGTGCCCGTGCCACGAAAGTTGCAACCAAAAACGGTTGTAATGGTCGGCGCGGGTGATTGGCCAGCATGATGTGCAACCAAAAGCGGTTGTAACGTGTTGGCCAGCGCTACGGATGGATCGGCAACTTGCGAAAATTTGGCATAAAGGTACACACTGCGCGTAATTTACTTTTTCCTTTCTCTCCCACCTGCATTCTTACGACTTTCGCCGTCATATGTGGTATCCCGCCTTCAACAGTTGGTTATGATAGTTACTTTTCACATAACATATACTTTTCAACGTAGCCAAACTTGTTTGATGTCCGCAACATACAGTATCTTAGGAATATCACAAGAACTCTAGATCACTCCTACGTACGATTCTCAGAATACTTAGACTACCTACAATGCTTAAAGTGCGTAGAACACCTGGATGTGTGGGCTGGTGCTCAGAATGCGTAGACCACCTGACTGCGTGGGCCATCTACGGTGCTTAGAGTAACTATGGTGCCTACGCTGCCTACGCTGCCTACGCTGCCTACGCTGCCTACGCTGCCTACGCTGCCTACGCTGCCTACGCTGCCTACGCTGCCTACGCTGCCTACGGTGCTTAGAGTAACTATGCTGCCTACGATGCCTACGCTGCCTACACTGCCTACGCTGCCTAGAGTAACTATGCTGCCTACGATGCCTACGCTGCCTACGCTGCCTACGATGCCTACGCTGCCTACGCTGCCTACGCTGCCTACGCTGCCTACGTCGCCTACGCTGCCTACGCTGCCTACGATGCCTACGCTGCCTACGCTGCCTATGAGGACTCTGAGCGGCCCAGTTCCTGATTTTCGCATCAGGGCAGAATTCGAAGACGTCAAGGCTCTCGAAACTCGCAATTCGGACAAGGTAGCAAGCCTACTGGAGGAGCAGGCTAACACCTTATCCAGCCTCGAGGAGGCACGAGCGAGGGAGAGGACCTTGAAGCCTGGATCTGTGCTAGGTCGGCGAGGGAGAGGACCTTGAAGCCTGGATCTGTGCTAGGTCGGAGAGCGATGAGGTGCAATACGGAAGCTGCACGCGAGAAGGACAGGAGCAACGTTTCCACGAATTGAAGGCCGTTCTGGAGGACACCGAACGCCAGCTCAAGGATGTGCAGGCAAGCGTGGATGTGGGCAATACTGATGCCATTGGTTTACGGGAGGCAAGCACACCATGTTGAACGCCTCCTGCGTGAAGACCTCAGTGCTGGCAGGACCTCCCAAATTAGCTTCGAGCAACGATTGGAAAGTTCGGAACAACTCGTCGCACAGACAACAGTCCCGAGAGCTTGTCTCTGATTGGTTCTACGTTCGGTGCTTCTTGAGTGCTTCTTTGAAGAAGATCCGACAGGCGCTCACGCGAGGTGAATCGATGCACGCACAGCCAATAGGAGGGCCTCAAGCGGAGGTAAGATGGAGTTGCACTTATGCCAGTCAACGGTTCTGTGGGCCGTCGACATATGTTTGAGACCTCACCCTCCGCGATATATCCGAACGCACCAGCTCACCACGAAGAGGTCATCGAACCGCAGGGTCCCCCTTCTCTGTTGCAGCCAACCTTGACCTAAACCCGCGTTCTCAAGTGGTAAGCATTAATACACATTTTGAAAGAGACAGGAAATATCATATATACCACCAATGAATGAATGGAAGAGGAATATAAACATATATGTCTCGTTTACGTTTGGTCCCGATGTCGTGTCGAGATGCCTGCAAGAACAAGACATGGACTTAATATGTAGAGCACGCTAGGTAGGTTCGGCCAATATCTCCGTAAGGCACTATTCACCTCGTTCCGCAGGTCGTCGAAGACGGCTACGAATTCTTCGCGAAGCGCCATCTCGTCACTCTGTTCTCGGCCCCTAATTATTGCGGAGAGTTCGATAATGCAGGTGCTATGGTAAGCGTAGACGAGACTCTACTGTGCTCCTTCCAGGTATGTATCTCGACATTATATGTCTACGTTCTGAATTGACTTTTTGATATAGATATTGAAACCGGCCGGAAGAAAGCCAAATACGCCAAATACCCTTACGGCGGTATGAACATGGGACGACCGGTAACACCACCTCGTAAGCAGAAGAAGAAGGATGGTAAGATGGGTTGAAGTCGCTCAGGGAGTTAGACTCTGTGCTAGACTGGCCCTCTTGCCGGTACCTTCTCCGGATCTGCTATTATATTAGGACGACCCTCTATTTCCATGTTCTATCGCTCCCTCTATATATATATATATATATATATTTGCTCCCACTATAATAAGTCCATGTCATGTTTTTGCAGGAATCTCGACACTACATCGGGACTAAACGTAAACGAGACACCACGGTCATTTCTCATAACCTGGCGAATTTGCTCCATAGATTGCAAGTCCGGACTCAACCCTCCGTGCATCGTCAAAATTGTCTCATCGACGATTGCAGCGATAGGTGGACAATTGAAGCAATCCATGGACGTTTTCCATAGCTTGATATTATATCGACGTTTACCTGAGAGAAAGTAATAAAGGAGTTGGTCTTATGTGCATACAAAACCCACGTACATTCATCGTAGGACCCGTATATTCTGTTGATACTAGCACATTCGTGATTGCCGCGAAGAATGTAAAAATTTTGGGGAGATCTTCTTCGAGCTACTGGTACCCGCTGAGTTTACTATTTGGTCAGCCGTAGGTAATATATGCTTTACGCCTCGTATCACTGGATTGAATGGGAGTGAGACGGCCGGTGGGGTATCTGGATTGGGCCTGATAGTGGGTCTTGATTTCAAGATGTAGGATAGTTCTTGTTGCGAAACTCGAAGGTCGTCCAAGAATGCAGAAGGTAGGTTTTTCGGCTGATTTAACCCGTGATCCCAAAGATGAGGGTGCGAGAGTTTGATGTGAAGAAACATAGAATATTTCCAGAGGGATGTTGGGTGTTCAGAAGGGCAGACACGGCAACGCACGGGTACATTTGTAGATGGATGCCGTCCGGTTGTTTGAACAGCACGGCCAAGCACAAACGGGTGTGCGCGAGGGCACTCAGATGCCACTTCCATTTTGGAATGAGGCTTCATCGATGTTGTCCCGCAAGTGCCCTTTCCACAGAATCCGCACGCATTCAGAACATCACTGATCTAAGGGTTAAGCACAATATTAAAGTGAGTATACTGTGGAATGTAGAAAGGAATTCTTACCTCCTCACGAAGTCCCTGCTCCTTCAAACCAGCGAGCTTCAATAGAATGTGCTCGCTAGCATGACCACGTCCATCCGTATGATTGATAGATTTCCCGCATTGATGGCAATCGATCTTACTTGATTTCGTTGCCATTTGCTTGGTCACAAGTGCTTTAGTTGCATCTTTGACTACGAAAGGTTCAGCTATAGCAACAGAATAATAGGTGAGACTTCATAGTTGCGAATTCAACCATTGAGTAACGCACCTGCTGAGTCCATGAGAGGAACTCCGGCTGCGCTACCAACATTCTTCAGCTTCTGATAGGCTGATAGCGGCACAGTTTCGAATTCAGTAGCAATCAGGTCGTCGAAATTGGTAAGCGTTATGTAGGATGTATTCTTTCTACCGAGGGCTTCGAGGTTCAATTTTGTGAGTGATTCAGGTAGTTTTTCACTGGAAACGAGGCCTTCATTGAGAGGGAAAACAAGGTGGCCCGGGAAATCAATAAGATGGCAATTTTTGAAGCCGTTGGTTGGTCCTGAATTCAACACTGGGGCTGTTGGTTGCTTCCGGTTTGCTCGCGGTGGAATAAAAGAAGAGTAGTCTCCATTCCAGACCAAGCTAGTGCTACCATCAAAATCACAGAGGTCAGCTGCGAGAACTTGTCCTGCAATATGGATACCGGTAGCCTCAGAAGAGTGCATTTCATCGAGGGTGGCACTTATGACTGTCTTGCCGTTCTTGATTATGGAAGAGACCGCTACAAAGACTGGTGCAATTACCTTGTCGCTGGTTTGAACCACACTGACGACTACATCCTTGACCCGCAGAATGGCTTCTCCCATTGGACTCTCGGCTGCCTCTTCCTCACGTTTGAAGTCTTTTGTGTACCCACGTACCCGTGATAGCCTGTCCGCCGATAGCTTCGTGACACCTGACTTGAACAGGCATGCCAACACAGACGCCTTGTGAATCGGCTTCGTTTCGGATCCATTGCCTGTCGGAACTTCCAACCAGTCAGCCGGGATATCTTCAGATGTCGTGACTTCTCCATATTGATCAGGTTCGTCACCGATGTAGTCTTCCAGATGTATATCATCATCTGTGAGTTCGTCTTTAACAGAATCCGATGTTGGAGATGTTGATAGTGTCGAATCAACTGTCATATGTTGACCACTTGCATGGTTCGACTCCTGGGTATCGGTAACCACTGATTCAACGTCTGGGACAGGATCGGTTGCGTCGTCTAGAGATGGATCGTGTTCTTCAGTGACGCCGACGAATTTCCTTCCACCATAGGGACACAAGAAGTTGACATCATCAGCCCGAAGAGCATCCTTCAAGTCGAAGTCTATGTGCCGATCTCGTAGTGCTAACTCAGCCTCGATTCGGCCAGATCTCCAAACACCTGATAACAAGACATCATCGACGACTAGGTTCCCTGTGAAATATGCTGGATTTACATGGTCGACACCTTCTGTGCCGGTGTACGACAGTCGACGATGTGCACGTTTCCAGTCTGGATGCTTGGTGAAAATTTTATCGACATCTACACAATCAGAGAGTCGCTCGCATAGCTGAACGATGTCGACATTTTGATCGTGAGTCATTGACCGAATGGTACCGAAGGTTTGCTCTAAACGATCCGATCCTTGTTGGTAGAGATAGAAAGACTTGCTGCGGTCAAGGACCTTCTGCTTGGCAACACAGAAGAATGCAGTTTTGACCACACCCTGGAGGTCTGCATATAGCTGGTTTGTCATGAAGCTGGTGCCATGAAGACGATGATGGACAAACGCGAGGTGAGCAAATTTTGCCAGTGAGGTAAGCTGTTCACTGAGAGACAGAATTGGATTAATGAATGGCTCAAGGAAGGCACTGATGAGATCATTCAACGCCAGCAGCACGTTGAGGACTGGCTCGTCAATTGGTCGTACAGTTGAGTCCTTCAATGTTGAGATCATACTGATCATTATCATCAGTTTGACCGCACGAGGGACATTCTGATGATCAGCCGGATCAATCAAGGTTCGAACACTTGCATCATCTTCGCCATCGAGGAGGACAAGAAAGGAGTGAAGATGTGCGGAATTGATATGTTGCCGATTGAGCATCATCCCATTCTTGCTTCGCAGTAGAGTTGCTATACCTACATATTTGTCCTCTGTTAAGTCCTTCCCTATTACCCACTGATTTGCGACTCACGTTCAATACAGTGCTTTGGGTCCGAAGAATATGTCACATTATCGGCACCGCATGCGAGATTCAGCCCAGGAAGGCCCCCAAGGTAGCCGAATAAAGGGTTTGTTGTGTCGAGTTCATGTGTGGTACACACTTGATGACACCCAAGGCGCATTGTCGAGGCTCCATCCGTTGAGATACACCAAAGTGCACCATAAACACCACATGCATTCTGATCCCATGCCTTTCCCAGTAGCCGGACTAAGCTCGCAAACTCAGGTGCCTTCTCCGCGTTGCATGTTGCTGACACGAGGACTGGTCGTGGTTCGTAGTCCACGCCATTGAACGCCCCAAAAACAGCAACAGTTGCCTCCGAGCCATAATGGCAAGTTGGTTCATTGCCATGAACTGCTTCCCATGTTCGCATTGTAGTATCATGGGTTCGCATGGAGATATCGAGATCATCTACATGCTCCCGACATAAGCCACCAATTGAATCAAGACGGCGGATCCACCGAACGTTGCGGCGGATCGCGACACCATCTATTTGAAGGCAATATCCCGAGGGTGTTGGTAGCGGAGATATGTCACATGGAAAGCTAGCTTCCAGGTTGGCGAGTAATAATGGGAGTTGGGGGTCACCTGTACACGGTAAGATTGGGGACCATTGTGCTGATCTATTGAGCGTGCTCAACGAGGGTAATCCCAGAGCTTTCGACATCGCAAATAGGCACTTGCGACCTCCATAATGCCGGATTAGCATTGCAATATCAAGGTCAGTTTGGCCGTATTGCTTGACGGTGCGAAGATTGATGATGGTGTTGGATATATTTGAAAGAATCGCCTTCGCGCTCATACAATTGCGGATGCCTGATGCAACCAAGTGCTTCATTCGATTTACGTCCTCCGTTGCAATCGCTGACAACAGTCGCTTGTGGTCTGTAACAGCTCGATGTGCACTGTTCAAGCTACTATTTCGGCGTCGGACCTATCCATTCAAGCCGGTCAACTTCCTGGTAAGCTAGAACATTATCTTTTGACTTACCGTCTGTTGCAAATCCCGTATAGATATTCCCTTCTTTGCCAATTTAGCAGCGAGTTGATCATGGGTAAGATATAAGGCATTCATATGTGGGGGCGTGGTGGATTCCTTTGCACGGTCCTCAGCATTGCGGAAGGTTCGCTGCTGTCGCGTACTAGTGCAATCCTCGCAAACTGTGCCATTGGTGTTGACACGCGGATTGCACCGATTCGAACGTATGCGAATGACCCAATCGTCCCCATGACCTGCAACGTGCGACAGCCAGAATGGCGTGTCCTTCTGTTGGAACATCTGCCATGGGAATGTTGTAAAGATGTTTCCCGCTCTCCAATCAACCTTAACTCCAGGACATCCAGAACCTCGTACACCATCCATGTCAAATCTAATGGCGTCTTGGATATTGTGAACGGAGGAGCTCCCTGTACCAACTGGATTGGTAAAGACCTCGCCTGACAGTGACCCTTCGCCAAATACTCCAACCCGATTTTGGACTCCCTGGTGTGTCATAGGAATTGGATATTGCCATGTCCTAGCGCCGTGGGGAGGGGTGTTTAACGGTGAGCTTGAATGGATATTTGCCAATGGTGATTGAATTCTAACGCTGTTTTCTTTGCTTGCTGAACGCTTTGCCATGTTACCATAACAGCTTCCCGACGAGATGTGTTTTTCGAAATGCCACAATTGGCCGCCTATGTCCCTATTGCAGTCGGGGCACCTTCTTTTCTCCAACAATTTTGAGTGACTTTGAAGGCCAGGACTCTGGAGAAAGGTTTCTGAGTAACCTGGAGTTGGCGTCGCTAGATATTGCTCTCTGACCTTCCCGTGGTTTGATGTCAGCGTTCCTGGACAGTGCCTCGGAGTCCGCATTGGCGAAAAGGCCTCAACCTCCATCTGTTCTGCATCTCTGGCGTCGACCTGCAAAGGGATACACCCCCGAGGCATGGGCTTGAGTCTATCTAACACTTTGCCACTAGGTGAGATTTCGCCGGAACTTTGGGGGGTGTCCGAAGCTGCAAAGACATCCATCATATCCGATTCTCCCTGCCCGGCATTATCCTGCGCCGCCTGTGTTCTTGCATCGGTGAGTAGCAGTGTACTGTCTGCCTCCATTGCTATTAACTCTCCTAGCAGCTCCACCATTTCGGCATTTGTTGGATCTAATAACATGGACATGCCGATATCCTGTGTTAACAGCCCATGGTAACCCCATCCGCTTCTACATGCTCCATTGCGAGTCGAGCTTCGTTGCCATCCCTTATACTGAAGATACTGTTTATTGACAGCGCTTCTCCAAATCCTGGCGCGTTTGTGTTTGCGCCAAGGTCGGAGATAGCAGGATGAACCTCTCCAGTCGCGTCCGTGTCGAAGTCAGACGCGTGAAACGAGTTGAACGCCATATAGAAGTCATTGTCGTTGTCCATATTAATTGGAAAAAGCGGCGAGAGCCTCTGAATCATGTTTCCTACGCATAACTTGCATGTTTACAGTGGTTCCTTATTTGCGCATGTGTACGCGTCATAACTTAGCAACTACTTAGCTACTCGCAGTTATCTGAACACCCAAATGCGGCAGAGTTAAGCATAGTTTAGCAAGTTTCAGTCATTTTGAGTCCCCAGACGTCCGTTTCACACCTTTGCACTCAGTACTAGAGGAAGCAAATGATGTATATTCCATGGAGGAACCTCCGGTAGGTGATTACTCTCTAAAATCAATCTCAACGACGCAACTGATTCACGACTGTCGTGGCTGTGTTTTCAGGGTCGACGAGGTCCAACCTGGGGAGGGTATATGTTCACTTTTCTTATCGTGGACTCCCCTTGCTGTGAACTGAACGAAGAAGAAAGCACTTGTGTAGCAGAAGCCAGCTTAGAAGGTTTGAGAGCTCTCGTAAACACTTGATATGGAGCGTGGAATAGCATCCCAAGGCCAATTCATGCAAGTAAGGGAAACGTCACATAGGTGGACAGTTTTGAATGCTCGTCCAACAAGGTCATCAGGCCTATAGTAGCTACATCTATTCGTTACGCGTTGATTTACAAACAAGATAGAGAACATTCAACAAATAGCTAACTGTTTATATCACTTAAGTCCAATTAGCAACGACGCCTGAATCCACGGAGGACGACTTACAAGTGGACACAAGATGTTTTGGCACGAACACGCGCTCCCGAAGCGAAGATCGCGGAGCCTTGTCGAACGTATCGGTCGTTCACGTAAATGTGGGCGGTTACAACGCCCCTACCGTGTCGGTATCCTCGAATGGTAATGTGGGGTTCGCGATCTTCGCTTCGATGGCGCTCTTTACTGTGCAAAGTTAGGCAAGGACTGAGGAAGCGTGACGAGAACTTACACGATGATCCAACATTGCAGGCGTCGAACCGGATACCCGAGTCGGTTCGAGATTGCCTGCATGATTGCTGCTGAGCGCAACCACTCCATCGCGACCCGAATGACGTGCTCCCGCGTCGTGGACCCCCTCGAGAGCAGGGTGCGTATAATTCGAAGTTGGGTCATTGATACAGACTAAGGAAGCCCTTAGTCACGTCGTCCATTGTACAGCGCAGGCCTGACCTTTGATGATAGGTATGAACGAGACGCGATAGTAATGGAGGAAGGAGAGTCGGAGTCAATGGATAGCGGTGGAGGAAGAGAGGCGGGGTGAATAGAGACGGTGAAGGAAGAGAGGCGGGTTCGGCGGTGTTGGGAGGAGAGTTGGCATGGGATCGCGCCAACACCGTGGGGCGTCTGTGTTCGCGAGACGGCCCACACGTCTCAGATTCGAGTTCCTCCCCAACGTTGACCTTCGTTCCCTCGCTCGTCTCCGTAAACGTCAATTTCGCGCCAACCCAAAATTTCGCATCCTCTACGACGCCCTATCAACGCATACACGACTTCCTCCGTCCCTCACTTCGGCCCATTCCAACTCACCTTGACTCTCTGTTTCCCTCTCCCGTCCATCCTCTTCCAACGCCTGAAACATCCGGTGAGCACCCCGTTGGCTCGCTAGACTTGCTCATTCCTTTATCACTGAGGGGTCGTCAACTACCACTAGCTAGCTACAACTCTAGATCCAGGTCCCCCGAATCCTCGACGCGCACGCAGGTAAGTAGCAATCCAATATGTTCAAGGCCTATCTAACTCGGTACATCGTTTACTAGTTGCTGGCGCGACATTCATCGGCTTACTGCCTACGGCCGCGCGCGTGCATGAACGACTCCTAAATTCCACCTACAGCGCGAAGACGGGTTCTTCACATCTCTCGCTCGTTTCATTTCCACCCCGGCCGTTCCTATTCCCATCCCGTTCACCCACCTGCCCATTCCTTCGTTCGTTGATCGTCTGATCCAATACCCCTTCTCGCCCCGTCGTTGGCCCTCTTGTACCGACACCCGTTCAGCCCATTTAGTCACTTCCTCAACGATATTAGCGTCACCTTGGTTCATGTCGTGTGTATGGTACGGGGCGCAGTATGTTCCCGTTCGCGTTCGACGTTATCTCTAGTTCGACGTTCGACGTTTCTTTTCACCATTCCCTCGTGCGCATTTTGCGTAGCGTTCGCTCGTTCTACAGTGCGTGGTGTCTTCAGTTAGGGACAGATTGGAATATACAAGTTCGGATGAGGTATTCCCTTGGATAGCCCCCTGCAGTGTATGTGCTTTCTGGCCTCTGTTTTTTTTTTGGACGTGTCGGCGAGGTCACGTGATGTGCGTTTGAACCCGATATGGATGTAACATACCGATAAGATATCTCTTGAATATCTATTCCTGATATTGATCGTCTACCACGGTTTCATATTCCCCACATAACAAAATGGTTAATACATATTTAATTTGCCATATACTATTCCAAATATGGATCAAATATCCCTCCTGTATTTTCCTCTGAATTCTTCAAATAAAATGACACATAATGATCGAATATTAATACCTATGATATCCCGTTGATTGAGGGGAAAATAGTCAATCAATTCAATGGATAACCATCGGATATCTCAGTGACTGTTTTATGATAAATCGTGAGAGTGTATGTAATGTATATTTTAAATGTTTTCCTACGGCTATAATAAATAATGTCCTTATAACAATCCCGCTAATATCGGATCGGTATCGAACAAACAAAAATCTGTAAACTACATATATCCAGTGGGTTTATTCCTTATCTATATCTAGCTAATAGTTTATTCTTCCCAGGCTTCGATAACGATTAATACCGACATACAATCTGCATAATGTTTTCAAAATAATCTAATACATTTGAATATAATATCTGTGAGTTAGCTAACATATTGATTGCATATTACGGGGCCTGATATGGGATCTTTACCGACGATAATTCCCACATAACAATCTCATACAAGGCCCAGTATTATTTGATCCTGCACCCTGTGTATATTATAATACCTTGTGGATTCTCCAGGGAGACACATTAAAATGTGTCTGCTTGTTGAACCCCCTCAGTCCACATTACAATGTCAGAGTCACTAGTATGTACCTGAATTATAATTCCGCCTCCTGGTTCATCTTATAATGTGCGCCTCCCTGCTGTAGGCATTATAATGTATTCTGTCGTTGAATGACAACCCTGGGAAGTCTTCATGATGCCTGTAAATTCTCGGTACTATCACGTGTACTGTAGTGCAAACACACATAGATATGCAAAACCAATTTTAAGTTGTTGTAGATTCCATGTCCTATGCTCGGACATGAAGTATGTTTGAGAAATAGACTTCATTGAGCTACTGTAAAAATCTCAAGGCATTTGAGAAGTTGCAAGCCCATTTCCGCGGGCAAAATGTGACGTGCAAATAGTCATTTCAAATTTGACTTGAATGCTGTGGAAGTAATAACAATCCCACAGACTTCTGATTTTTTTCTTAGCTAGTATAGTAGCGCTAGAGTCTGAATCTAGAGTCCCTTGCACTCGTACCTACTGGTTCATGCACAGGAAAACCAGCAACATTTTGCGTGACAAAGAAGCTCCTATTTGCCCCTTGTTTTGCAGATCCATGTGTTGCCGAGCGAGCGGCCGAATGCATACGGCGGCACACGGCTGCGCTGCTGGGTCTGAATGACGCGTGACACACTGTGACGAAAAGTTTGCAAATCTATGTTTTTGGGTACTTGTCGTACCGGCATCGTCATTGCTCTACTACTCGGAAAGGGATTCACTCAAAAAGTTGATAGGTATTTAGACAAGATGAGCGACAACCTCTCGTAGCATGCCGGGAGTTGTAGGGACATCCAATCTGGAGCACCAGGTTGAATTGTCCAAAATTTTGCAAATCTGTCTAAGTGATAGTAGCAGCCTCGTGTTCCGTGTTCCGAAGAAAACAAACATTCAGGTAGAGTTAAAACGGTCTGGCAGCTGCAGCTTGCCGGGGTTCGTCCTGTGAGAGGGTGATGATTACCAAGTAGTTACTGAATATGCTGAAGGTCGCAATCAAGTACAATCCAACCCAACCAGACGCACCTATACCCAATATTTTCTGTTCTGCATGATTTTGGAGGAGGATCAATGAGTGCCATATGGAGTGTAACCGTTGATTTATCAAACATTTCGGAGTAGGGTTCAAGAGAACGGACCACGTTGATTGAGAGCAGAATCCTCCAGCGGCCAGTTGGACGGGCGTCAAATGTGCGCTTGGGGGGAAAACCGAACTGATGTGAACATATCTAGGGTAAAGGACAATATAATGCAGATCGGAGAGCTAGAATCATAAGAGAACGATTGGATGACCATGCTAATATAAAAAATCAGCACGATCGTGCTCTCGATGCCACTATTGAAAAGGTCAGACTAATGCGCTAAAAGGCGAAGCATTCAACTCGTGCAATTGGTGCATAATGCCATAAACTCACTTTCAACTCACTTTTGGCGCAGTACAATCTTTTTGCATAATCTTTTAACTGAGTGGACAAGTAGCCTAAACATGTATATATTCATGTGCTACCTGACATTAAGTAGGTGTATGAGGAGCCTGCCGCGGCCTACCTCAAGGCGTAGTGCGACAGTGTGCCTCAAGCACAACCCAGGATTCCCCGTAGTCGGAACCAACTTTAGAACGAGTTGGTTGGTCTTGCACATAGGGTTAGACTATAGGTATCAAGCTTATTAGTAAGAGAAATATGAACCGTGAGCTCAACGAGAGCTACAAATACAAATGGCCTGGGCGGCGGGATCCTGGGAGTTGAACAATGTTGAAGTTCCGAAAGCTGGGGTACAGTTGTTGATATCTGAGTGTCAATGCTTGTTTCTTGTTGCTTCGCTACTTGACTGTTGGCCCAGCAGTCAAGAACAGCAAAGGGCGGAGGAGGGGGGCGTAGCGGGGAAAGCGAGAGTGCTGATCCGAATCATTGAGTGCTCCAGTGTACGATAAGATTAGATGCAATGATTATAGCCACGTGATCAATCAATCAAGCATTGCGTCACTGGCTTCGACATTATAATTCACATTATAATACCGCCTACAAACCATCTATCCGCATTACAATACCTCCATGGGGGGTTTTACATAGTGGCACATTATAATACCTATCGCTGGATAATCCACTAGGTATTATAATGGGACTACATGGACACCTCGCCCGCCTAGTCGTCCAAGGTCAGCATCAGGTCGAGGGGAAAGATTATTACAAGAAATATGCCAGCGTCATGCGTCTAGAATCCTTACGCATGCTTCTGGCTGTATGGGTCACTCTCGACTTCTTCATCTGGGAAATTGACTTCAAATCGGCATACCTTAACGCTAAACTCGAGGAGAAGCTCTGGATTCGACTCCCAAGAGGTTTCATGTACGAAAACTCGCCTGAAGTCGTCCTCCCACTACTACGCGCACTTTATGGGGCTGTCCAGTCAGGAAACGTTTGGTGGAAGATGCTCAATAACGCATACAAGGCACTCGACTACATCAGATCAACCGCAGACCAATGTGTCAGGGTACGACGCTCTGAACTAGGCGAGACGCACACAGGGACTTACACCGACGACACAGCGGGAGCCTCGTCCACAAAAGAAGAGGCAGAACGGGCAAAGGGGGAGATTGGCGAAAGGTTCCCAATCAAGGTTACCGATGATGTCGAATTTTCGCTTGGAATGCGACTGACGCACGACAGAGAGAAAGGCACGGCGAGTTTGTCCATGCGGGCATACTTTGAACGACTCTTAGATCGACACGGATTCTCGGACATCAAACCGAAGACCACTCCTTTCGCGCTTGGTACAGTGTTAAGCAAGAAAGGCGCCCCTTCAACCGACGAAGAGCTCACGTTCATGAAGGACAAACCCTATGACGCCATAGTTGGAGGTCTGCAATACGCAGTAGGAGCCATGCGCCCCGACCTTTCATATTCTGTCAACGTTCTTAGTCGGTTCTCCCGGAATCCTGGTCCATCGCATTGGAAAGCATTGGTGCATGTACTCGCATACGTCAAAGGAACTCTGGATCTCGGGCTCACCTATAGGCGTGATGTCAAAGACGGCTTAATTCCAATCACCTATGTCGATGCCGACTACGCCGGGTGCCCGGATACTCGACGCTCGACCATGGGAGTTCTGACGAAGATGGCTGGGGCACCCACGTTCTGGATGTCAAAACGCCATGACACCATGGCTATGTCGACTGTTGAGGCCGAATTTATGGCCCTCTGCCGTGGAGCACAACAAGCAACTTGGACTTTCAACTTCATGGCGGAATTAGGGTACCCTCAACAGCTACCAATGGTTGTCTACAACGATAACCAAGGATCTCTCAGTATATGCGAGAATCCCTCCGACCATGCGCGTTCCAAACACATCGATAGTCGTTTCATGAAGATTCGCGAGCTTGTGAATCCAGAAGAAGAGGGTGCAACAAAGAAACTCGCCGTCGAATATGTCGCTAGCGCAGAAAACCCGGCGGATATTCTTACGAAGTCATTGTCGGCCAACGCCCATTGGAACCAGATCGATCTCATGGGGATCAACCGTAGCGTCTGATCCAGGGGAGTGTTGAAGATGGATCACACTCAACGGTTAAGCGGTTCGGGCGCTATTTCTCCTTTCCTCTTTCGATCACATATAAAAACATTCATTTTCACTTCCGCATCCTCAGCTTCGACTATACTGTCGGAATCGCTGAGAATACGTTCCTAATTACTCACGCATTCTACATGCATAACTTGACGACACAATGTTTTTTATTTATTCGCCGCCGCTGTATTTGCCTATGTACCATGCCTGAAGCACGCATGCAGTGCATTCGCCTGGTTGATGCACTGGTTCCGAGAAGTACTGGCAACAAACATTCCCTAACCCAATCCAAGGGCTTCTGGGTATTTCATCGAGCCGCTCTGCGCTTCATTTCTGACAAGTCAAACATTTTCGATTTTTGATCCTATCATATTGCAAATACGGACAAATAACGTCCTGTCCACTTTCTTCCTCAACTTCTTTCACAAAAATTATGGCCGAAATCAGGAGTCTTTCAGTTTGCATAGAGGCGGTGTTGCAGAGGGACCCTACCTTTTTGGAGCACAAGGTGGAAAAGTCAGTGAAGACCAGCACTCGTAAGCATCCGCATTCAGCAGGATATCATATATGAGTCAGACCGTCCTTTTTGCCTAGATACATCGCAGGCATCTGAGGTTCTCGCCGAAAATGTCGAAATGGAACACCTCGATATCCTGGAGCGTCTGCGAAGACGCTATACCCATACCATAGGATCGCTTGTATTGGATTTTGTCCCGGTGACAGCGCAGGGTCAATTGTACTTTAATTCAGCCACATTGATTTTCCAGGTGAGTCCTGACACTTCCCCTCCATCCACCACCTTACGCCTCACGCATAGGATACTGAGGGTCTCAATATCAACGAGGTCAATGAAAGTCACATCAACAGCGCCCACCAAGCAAGGCTCCAGATTGTGTTGCGGACGACTCGCTCGATCGTATACGAATTGGCTGCTAGGAATAAGGAAGAGGGAGCGGAGATCAACCTGGAGGAGGTTAAAAGAATGCTAAAAAAACTGGAAATCAGGATGAAAGGAAGGCTAACAAACGGTATTTTCTCAGTATTTCCAGACGAAGGCCTGACGCTCCGGTCGGACGAGGCTTCAATTGAGGAGCTATGCCTAATGACTCTGGAGGACAAGACTAGTAAAGGGCTGGGGCAGGTCATCGACTTTGATGGGGTACAAGAGGGCGATGTGCCCAATTCGACCACCCTGCACGCCATGAAGCAGGTAAGTCCCTTGTCGGAAGTTGTTCTCTAGCTGATCAAGCCTTTCAGGTTTATACGCAGGTCGCCCTCTCAAATGGCAGCCTCGGCCTGATGACAGGGTTACGAAACGGCACCTGGGTCTACGGACACAACGAAGAGCCAAGGAGGTCTGTGCTAACGAAAATACTCATTAAACGTTGCTGTCTGACAAGCATCACCAGTGGAAATCACAAAAGGTGCGCTCCTCAGCTTTCATTTTCACCGCATACACCCTCAACTGAGCTTGCAGGATCCTATATGCGACGAAGAACCTGACTATGGAAGGACTTGGTGATGCCGAGCGGCTGAAAGTCCTTCTTGAGGCGGAGATATTGTGTTTCTTGTATGCTGTTCATGGCACTGAGTTTGGAAGGACAATCTTCTCAGAACCTTGCTTGGGCATTTTGCGTTCGTAACTGTGCCCAGTCGCTTTCAGATTTTGTAGCTCAGAGTGCCATTTGACATTTTAGCAAGGTCTCGGGAGACATGTCCCTTTCCCTGGTGTTCCAGTGTCGAGAATGCCATGTTGTTCATGTGGATGTTGGTGAGCCATAATTGCAAGTTCTAAACCCCCAACATGTAACCATATTTCACTTCGCAGCTCTCTGTCCTTTGCCTTCGAATCGCCGGTCCATCCTTGCTTCGCACGGGCTGGATCAATCTCCACCTTTGGGCATCGGATCATTTGGTGGTCCGGCTGCATGCCGAGCGCAGATCGAATTCTGGGTGGGATATCTGATTGCCACAATCCTCATCTTGTCTAATGAGAAGTCAGCTGGCGGCTCCCCCTTTTGCTTAAGACAGGCCAAGAACTTGGTCAAGGTGCACATGGCGCGGTCAAAACCATCCGTGGCATGAATCTTGTTGTCAAAATCGGGAGCGCAGATGTTATCAGACATGAAGCTTCTTTCTATCTACGAGCCCGCCCCCATCGCAACCTGCCCATGGTTGCTGACTTCGGCGCATTCGACATCGATGGTTCAAACGGGTGCGCCCTTGTACTGGAGCTTGCTAGGCCTGTGGATGACGCTTCCGTGTACGCATTCCTTGTTTGTTGCTTCATATCTGTGAACCCATTTGCTTTTGTAGGGACCCATACGAAATTTCCAAGGCCGTAGATGACCTCAACACTCGACTTCGTATTCACCATCACGATATATCCCTTGCAAATATGGTGAGAGGTATCGCCGATGGGAAGCTCAAGATTATCGATTTTGCGGAGGCTGTGGATGCAGAGGACTGCGATAAAAACTGTGACCGCGATTATATCAAAGTAGGGGCCTAATGCAGCCCAGACGGTGGCTCAATTAATATTATATGTGTCTCGCTCAGCTCAGAAACATGTGACGAAAACGGAGATGCCGCCAAAACGGTGTGTTGTGTTATGCTCATTAAGACCACATGTATAATTACTGGCCCATGTCGTACAAGAAATCATGCACTGTGCAATTAATTGCTATGTCCCACAGGAATATTATCACTTGGGAGCAGTCCGCTCAAAGGTGCTACGGATAGGAGGCCCCTGTGCTAGTCACGTGCAAAAGAACAACCAGACATTGGGTTTTACCCATCGAATAAGCGCCCAATGGCTGAGATGGCCGTCGAAGTGCGCAACCCTTTGATCCTAAAACCATTACCTTGTTAAGCTGCGCCCATTTGACAGTAATGGTTCCCACTACTTGTATTCATCATTTACGCATGCATTAGGACCTTTGGACGCAACGGGATGCCTGTTGGGGAAGACATGTCGAGTCAGGTCATATGCTTGAGGGCAATTTCCACCTAGCGATTAATTTTGGCTGTTATTCACAAATAAATCTTCAAATATTGTGCTTTTTAACAGAACACGGCACTCGCGGACGTGCCTCCTTGCGTGTGTTGCTGAATTCCGTGGTTCCACCCAGGCTGGCTATTTCTGGACTGCCATGTTTTTTTCACACACGTATTTTCGCCGCACGAAGTCAGCATTATATTGTCAATTCACCAAGAACTGTAGAACTTGTGCGAGAGTGTGCGAGAGTTTGGAAGAGTCGGATAGCGCCAGCCCGAGGACGTGATCATGTAACCGGATCTGTCACGTTCCTTCCAATGAGCTCAAGCGTTTCTGTGAGTACCGTCTAGTGATTCGTGAATCAAGCTGAAAATAGGTCCAATATCCTACTTTCTGAACCAGCCTCCGCTCTCGATTCGAAATCCTTGAGGCCATCCTAGACTGTCAGTTTCGCATCAAGCATGTGATGTGCCCTGTCGACCAGGACATGGAGCGAAATTGATAGGCCGAGATCGTGACTTTAGACAGTGTTAGAAGAGTAAATTGAAATGTATTTTACCTTCTCTCCTTGTATTCAATTGTCCTTGATCATGATCTCATAGATCTTCTATGCTACACAGCAGAGTTAGAATTGCTTAGAAGAACTAAATTAACAAATGATTCAGACAATTGTGCTATATGTGATTCACTCATTCTGCCATATATACAGGCAGTTCAACATCACCAGGGGACCCAAAGTTAAAAACCCCTAGCTACCCCTACAATGACAGGAGATCAGTCACGTGCGCTTTACTGGCAACTGCCTGCTGGTCTTCGGGGTGACGTGATCCAAAGTGTGCTTGAAAAAGGCAGGGTCCTGCAGGAACGCCATATCTATGAAAACCCTAAGACTGCTGGTGTTGGCCATATTTTTGTGAATAGATGGGTTTTCCGATGCGTGTTGCGGAAGAAAGCGGAGGGACATTATTTGTCTATATTTGCCTCCCTTTGCGATATGATACTTATATTGTATTTGGAGCTCCTTTACGAGCGACTGTCTCGGTGATTATGGGAGCTAAATGAAAATCGCAGGATAAAACTGCCCGCTATATTACCCTAAGTCTAAGTGTATCTTACCCTAAGTATATAGTAAGGTAAGGCTCCCCTTAAGTTTCCTAAGTCGTGGGCCCGCTGGATGGCCTTCCGTACTTTCAGAAACACTCAGGAGGTGGTTTGGCCTTCCAGGAGGCCCGCAGCGCCGCCCGCTGTATTGGAAGGAACGGTTAGAAATTTAAATAACGGTGCGTAGATGGATCTTGCATGCTTACCATCATTCCCACTTCAGCGTGGGCAGCCAGGAAGGCCACGGCGACGGTGGTACAAGGGAACACTTGCCATTACATATGTGGGCTGCCTTGCCTAGCCAGTTAAACGGCGGGAGGTGGCATGGAGGCGCGTGAGTGAGAGTGAGTGAGTGAGTGACACTAAGTTGATTGGCTGAGTCGATGCAATAGAGCCAATAAAACCACCCACGAGTAACACTGGTGGACCATGGAGATAGGCGCCCCTGCATATTCTCTCGACACTGAATGGTGCGGCGATTCCCAGCCTGGCGGAGGTCTCGGAGGAGACTATTGATTTATTTGTGGAGGAGGGTAAGGCGGGTGGTGGGGCGGTAGTGTTAACTTGTCAGGGGTTTGGGGAGTATGAGGTGCCCAGAGTGTTCGAGGACTTGGGAGACTTGGGAGATGTGCTGGAGTATGTGGTTTTGGAGGCGGGACAGGTTCGTTGATCATGGATCATGCGGTTGGGTACTAGGTCAATGTCAGTATGCTCGAAGGTCAAAAATCTGGTCGAGCAGCCATCGTTGAATACTCTTATTATGATATCGCGCCTATACATTACCCCGACACCCAGAAAGATAGGGAATTTCCAGATGCGTTGAAAAAACTGTTGCCTTTCGCGTTGTCGAGGATGCGGTTCAATTTGTGAAACCCGTTAACGCTTTGTGTAAAAGGAAACAACGGCAGAACACAATAATTGCATCACGCGGTCCTTTGTCCTCGTCTTGTACAATTGGGACCAGCACGCACGCTTCAGTGTGGCTCCTCCTGATAGCCTTAGACGGGGACGCAATGCGCTGAAAGTAATCAAAGGTACTCCTCCCGCAGGATGCAATGTTTATCACAGTCCGCGGCATTTGCGCCCTTCGCAAAATCAATAATCTTGAGCTTCCCGTCGGCAACACCCCTCAACATGTTCGCGGAATCGATGTCGCGATGATGAAAGCCGAGTCGGATATGTATGTCTTGGAGTGCCGCGTTGACCTCCCATCTCTCTCTATCAAGAAATATAAGTTGACGAAGCTCAGCGAAACTAAGCTAACGCACGGGGTATCACGGATAGGATTCGCATATTCCAGGACGAGCATGGATGCGGCTGAGCTTTCAAAGTCAAAAACTCCAAAGTCTTGAAGAATGGGAAGGCCTTGGTACTGTCGAGCTTTGCTATACACGGAAGCTTCTCGTTTAATTATATCTGTGCGTCCGATTTTGACAACGATGCTTGTGCCCGCCACTCGTTTGACCGTACCATGTGCGCCGCTTCCAAGTTCTAGACCGATCTTCAGGAGAAGAGGGATTTGCAGGCTGGTACGACATCATTATGGGAGAATATCTCAAGACCCAACGGCACCAGTGATCCGATCGGGGCCAACGGTACAACCTGTGTACCCCGTGGTCTGTGCGTACGGCATGATCTGATGACCATAGATAAAGGCAGACGCGGCCCGTTCGAAGCAGCGATGGACCGGCGATTTGGAGGATCAGAACGGAGAGCTATCATGCCGATTAATGAACACCAACAAGCTTTAGACGTGACGATACTCTCACCAACATCCAAAGAAACAATCCCGCCTTGAAAAGGCACGATCCCTCTTTCCACGAAGGCTGAGCGCATACATTTGCTGAAGAAATGCGAAAACTACAGTTCAGACAAATTGGAGAGTTTGCTACGATTAGCGCTACTGACGTAGAATATTGTCGTCGGCCGACAAGTCACCAAGTGCACTTCGAACTACGCCAAAGGCATCCAACACCTCCTGTAATCCCGGCGGGAAGCTGTACGGGTGTTGCACTTGAACTGCATGAAGAAAGCAGAGCACTTCGGCTTCAAGAATGACTTCCAACTGCTGAAACGGATCAATGCCCTTCGGAGTGAGGTTGGTCGTTTTGTACATGACGTTGGGCCTGCGTAAAATAGACGAGCAGATAGCAGCAGCAGTGAAATCAATGGAAAATACCAACCCCGTCTTCTGAAGGCCGTAAACCCACGTACCGTTTTTCAAAGCGGTCAATAAGCCGAGTTCACCTGTAGAAAGGAGAACCTGCGTGAAAACCTGACCGAGTGAGCGGTAATCGGTAGTCAGTATGCGGGAATAGTGCCTACTTGTCTGACGGCCTTTTGAGTGGCTTCCGGCACATCCGGAGTTTCCACTGCTCCTTGGATCATTGGGTGATCAAGGTCAACAGCTTCGCCGCTACCCATTCCAGGGCTTGCTTTATCTTCAATCGCCATCAGAACGAGCATGCGCATTTTCGGATCCTTTTTGAAGTCGACATAGCATCGGCCCTCACGCGAAACAAAGTCTCGCTGAGCGACGTTTGGGTGTGGACACGGATATTGTTGAGCTGCTCTTCAAGTTGATTCAGATCAATGTTTGCTCCGTTCTTGTTCTTTTTCGAGGCTTGTTCAAATATGACGAAGCACAATAGGTGACGGGCTAACTGCAATCGCGTATGGTGGCTGGTGTTGATGTCGCCTTCGTTACATTCTAGGATCGAAAGATTTGACGGCTGCGATAGGACAAAGGCCATATCTGTAAGAGATCATTGTAATGCAAGATAAGTAGGCTTCTACACGCCTTTAACAGATCTAATCCATCCCTTAAATAATTCAGACCCTCCGGCGTGGTTGGGACAAGATCAAACAGATGACAGCCTAGAACCCTTTCATATCTGACCCGAAGGTCATCTAGGATATCAGCCTTCCGTAAATGTACGTCCTGGGCTAAAATGTCGCTCGCAGTGGAATCGTCTGAAATGGTGTTCGTGATTCATGCGCAAATGGTGAAGCAAGGGCACGCTTACGGGTGCTCGTGCGCACGCCGAGGCCAACCATATGTTCCAGACATTTTAGCGATGTCTCTCTGAGTTGATTGATCGCTTCTCTGACGGTAGGGACTGTAGGATGCATGGGGTGTCGAAGACGTGGGTGTCGAAGACATGCGAACACTTTGGTGGCCTGATTGGTGTTCGAACCAAAGTCTAAGCGCCGACGAGCGCTTGGCATTCTTCCTCTACCACATGTACCACCACCAGCTCCTCCTCCTCCTCTGCCTCGACAACGAGAATCGCAGTCCGCTCGCACTCATCTTATCTCTCGAGTCTCTTCCACCACCTGTTCTCATTACTCAAGGGGAGCCACTTCGTTTTGCGCCAATCCCAGCGTACCTGTATCCGATTTACTGACACTCAGCTGTCGCAGCATGCAGATCTTCGTCAAGACCCTCACCGGAAAGACGATCACCCTCGAGGTGGAGTCATCTGATACCATTGACAATGACAAGGCCAAGATCCAGGACAAGGAGGGGTCTTCCCTGTCCACGAACAGAGGAGCTGAACGCATGGCGCGAACAGCATCCCACCCGACCAACAACGCCTGATCTTCGCCGGCAAGCAGCTCGAAGATGGGCGCACCCTCTCCGAGTACAACATCCAGAAGGAGTCAACGCTTCACTTGGTGTTGCGCCTTCGTGGTGGTATGCAGATCTTCGTGAAGACGCTTACGGGCAAGACGATTACGCTGGAAGTGGAGTCCTCGGACACGATCGATAATGTGAAGGCGAAGATCCAGGACAAGGAGGGATGAGTACAGTTTCTAACGCAGTGGAGTTTCTAACGACGCTGAAACCACTCAATCCCCAGCATCCCTCCCGACCAGCAACGTCTCATCTTCGCTGGGAAGCAGCTCGAGGACGGATGTACCCTCTCCGACTACAACATTCAGAAGGAGTCGACCCTTCACCTGGTGTTGCGCCTTCGCGGTGGCATGCAGATCTTCGTGAAGACCCTCACTGGCAAGACCATCACTCTCGAAGTTGAGTCCTCGGACACCATCGATAATGTCAAGGCGAAGATTCAGGACAAGGAGGGTATCCCTCCCAACCAGCAGCGTCTCATCTTCGCCGGCAAACAACTCGAGGATGGCCGTACTCTTTCTGACTACAATATTCAGAAGGAGTCGACGCTCCATCTTGTCCTCCGTCTTCGCGGTGGATTGTAAGCAACACATGAACGGTCTGTTCACGCTACGTCTTCCGCGGCCTTGGTTTACGGTGTCAACGTTTTGGGAAGTTTCTTACTACACACAATGGATTTCGTTTGAAATGAGAGAAATTTTTAATATTCACTGTGATGGCATGAAAGAGTTAAACTACGACACATACTACTACCATTCGAGTTCTGGGTCATAAACGTAAACGCGCCGCCTTGCTGATGCTCGTTCATCCGTTTCCGACCTCCAGAGCGTGTTTTCTGGGTCTCTTGCGGGTGCGAGGTCGTTTAAGGCCGTTGGGATGCGTTGGGCGCCAATTCGATGGGTAAAACCCATCGCCTGTCGTGCCACAAACATTTTAAAGTCCGAGGGGGCATTCATCTTAAACACGCGTTACAAGCGCCATGTTGCCCCTGTCCCCCTGTCCGCCTCCTCCACTCAATCTGTCGGATCGGATTCCAGCCAAGTAGATTTATTATCCCGTTATCGGCGCAAGGAGCGCGCTATAACTAACGAATTGGACAAGTTCTGGAAGCTGCCTCAAGAAGATATGGATTCATGCGACCCGATCAAGTGGTGGTACAGCCGTCGACTTCAATTCCCTAATTTGTAGCGCTGGTGAAATGTGAAAGACTGGGTTTGACACGGATGCGCGTAGGATGAGCGTAGAGGTGTGCGGCTTGCTTTAATAGTCTTTTCGAAACTGTTTCGTAACTAGCACCAAGTGTGACATTCCGGTCTTCCTACCACCAACACCACCTACTCGACGCCAGTACCCACCGTAAACCCATCATCGCTGCCCACCAACCCTCAAAGTCCGCAAGCATCTCAACGTTCAACGTCAACACTCAAATATTGATATTGAGGCCTCATTAATCATTGTCGATCGCAGACGGATGTGAACAAGCCGACGTGGACCTTATGGCATTGTTGTGAGCACCTACCTTCCCTATCTCCCATCACATTTCTCATTCTCATTCCACAACCGCCTCTTCCTGCGAGCAAATCGTTCCCCGGAACTTCCCCTGTACGTCCATCCCTCCTCTAGGTAGGTACTTGTGGTGTGCATGGTTGGTAATAGGCGGTCGAGTGATGTGACGGGCGGCAAGAAGATAATCGCCTCTTCTACTGCGTGCGCGCGTGCGTAGTCATGGCCTTGGTTGAAGTCGACTGGTGTGGATTTTCACTAACGACGATTGTGTTAGCGCGGAACTGCCTTCTTTCGTTAACATTCGCCTGTTTACTTCCCCACTCTTTGTCCCTACTTTCCCCGCTCGTTTCGCCATTTCCCCGCTTCTCGTCTCCCCATTCAGCCATTCTCGGCTGCTCGTCTCGTCTCCTTGGTCAATATAGTGTCGTCGTCGTGTTCCAACGACTATCCCCGTGTAATGTATATCTTCTCGCAGCCCTGATGACTGTTCTGGGACATTCTGGGATGTAGTGGAGGTGGATTGGATGTGGAAGGGTCGGATATGTGTTCCCCTTTTGGATTCTTTCTTTTTGTTTCGTCGCTTACATTCCACCACATATTCTTCATTGTTGTCGAGACCTACGTGGACGCGCTTGTGTACGTAGTCGTTGTGGGTGGTGTCTGGGCCCTTGTGAGGGTCGTGGCGTCGATCGGCTTCGTATTAACCGCTGGTAGAGCTGGGCGGATGAGACTGCGTGCGTTGACGCAGAAATGCGTCAGATTCGCATGCGTTCGTTCGACAGAGATGAAACATACCTTTGATCTTTTTCGTTCGTGTCATTCCATTCCCTCGCCTCTCGATTGGTCTCCATCAGCCGCAAGTCGATTTGATTAGATTTGATTCAAGTCGAGTCTCCAGCGAGCTGCGCAAGCTGGCTAGATGGGTAAATGTGGATTAGATATACGTGAGTCATCGCTAGAGCGCGTTCTTACCTAATTCTGGTCGGGGATGGGCTTGGCGTAGGCGCAGGTTTGAGAATCGATATGGATGGAGTTTGGAGTGGATGGGCTGCAGAGTGAGCATGAACGGATGGCTCGCTACAGAAAAGTGGAAGGAGGGAATCTGCGGCAACGACTGAGCTGAAATGAAGCAAAGGAGCACTTACGAATCGAGTCCAGCACCGTTTTGTCGAGTCAAGGAGGAGTGACTCAGTGGGGATGGAGAACTTGCTGGGTTGGAAAGGAGATCAAGAGCTCAGGACACTTGAGATTTGGAAAGAAGAGGCGAAGTAGAGAGGCGAAGGGGAGGTGACACCACTTACGACAGCCAGCGCACGAGCCAGCGAATGGCGACGAGAGGCGGCGAGGGGAGAGAGAACGCGCAGCTGCATGGGATGACCAAGGCCACCACAGGATCCATTGCAGCGAATTTTCACAGATTTTTAAGTCAGTTCAGGTCAAGTTGTCGCAGCGCGGCTGCTTCTTTGGTGAGATGGGAACGGCGACAATTTCATGTCTGAGGCGCCGTCCGTCAGCAGATATGTGCCCAATTGATGTAATGGCAGGCTCGTTACTGAAGACATCGCCGAGGTCAACTTCGAAAACACCGTCAGTCTTCATGCGCTTTCGTTTATTCCTGCTTCGCGACATTGGTGGTAAGTATTCGGGGAGTTTGGGTTATCCAGAACGATACCCACTGTACTATCATGTACCCATATTCCGAGTGTCGTTTCGCCATCTGCGGGCCCTTGCTTAGCTTATGTTGAAGCCAGGGCATGGAAACCGATTTCTAGATGAATCTGCATAATCAAGATTAAAGTCAGTTTTATTTCAGGGATCATATATTCAGCAATAACATACGACCAAGGTCGCCGCTTGATCCAGGATATTGAGAAGAATCTTCGATGGCAGCAGCTAGGGGTTTGCTAGGGGCTCAAGCACATGCTGGCCGTTTGCACGTGCTTCAGTTGAGAACGCGCCCGACCAGGACCCCGGATAATCCCTGTAAATGTTGGATCACGAATCCACCCCTCGATTGGCGGGCCCATTACCATATAAGGAAATCGAGGGGTGGACTTTTGGCTGGGCTCGTGGATCTAACATTTTACAGCGATTTTCGGGGGTCCTGCCCGACCGCGTTTTGGGAACATCACGGCGTATCACCTACAGCATCGAAGCATGGCGCGTCAAGGCCTAAGAATGGGTGGTGGTAAGTACTTATCCTGCTCACTTCATCATCTTGGTTTCAAACACACCCCGGATCCGACTTTGGACCTGGGAGTGCCCTTTTTTCACTACGCCTGGATCTGACCTTGAAACTAGGCATTTCGCCTCATTTTCCCTTGAATATTTCCAACCCTTTCCATACTCATAATGCAATCTTACTTACCTTTTCCTGGCCCTTTCCAATTCAGAACGCACAACTAGGTCGGGTGCGGCCTTTTCTCCATGGCAACTGCCCATAATGTACAATGCACCCATCGACCTGGGCAAGATATTGGACGCGGCAATCACTAGGGGGGGATCTTGAGCAACCAGATCCCGGCGCGTCCGACCCAGAGGAGTTGGCTCAGGACTCCGACCTCTCTGATCCATCCGACTCATCATCCAACATGCATTTGGATTGTGAAGGGGGCAGGGATGGGCTATGTGCTGCTGGCGCAAAAATGGATGGCGAGGGTGGAGGTAACTGCGGCGCACCACCACAGGGGACGGGCGCAAAGACTTTGTCGACTTTGTCAGCCACCAGCCACCAGCCAAACTCCAAGGCTCGCTATGAGGCAAAGAAGCGCGTCAAATATCGGGAGAAGCGCGCCAAAGCATTGGAGCAGGTGGGGGCATCGGTCAAGTTGGTTTCAATCTGTCGCTGGGCACAATCCCGCCAGGTACCTGCAGGAATCAATCTCGGGGAATTTGGCCACACATCCACTGCCTACCTTGGCATACACGGCCAGGGCTTCATCTAGAATAGTTGGAATCAAATAAACGCAGATTGATAGCATTTGCTTGTTTTGAGATGGGGCGGAGTTCGACCGAGTGTCAGACCCAAACAATGTAGCTTGGGGTCACACAGGGCGGATAATCCCGTCTGAGACTGAATGGGGCCACAACCGAGATGGGCTGGAATTCAACCTGCGCGAGCGCCCGCGACCTGATCGATAATCGATCTCCCTCCTCGAGGCTCTAAGCTGAGGGCCCAGCTGCTATCAGATCCACGAAAACCGTTCTGCATCATGAAACTATCAGAACCTCGAGGTATGTACGAGTTCTCTTCCTGGTTTCCGTTGGTTAAGCCCTTTACAGTGTGGAAGTCGGAGGGAGGCAAATTTATGTGTCTAGCCTGCAAAGATGGACGCCAGCGTGACTTGCGAAGTGCACTGCGACACGAAAATATCAACGATCATCTCACTGCGACATCATTTTATCTCGCTCCAATTGAGGCTGATTCAGTCTCTGCCACATTTGAGTCGAACTTCCACTCTGAGATCCCTAGTGGCCCTCTATCGATGGCGCTCCAAGGTATTGCAAGTAATTCTACAAATTCGCCGCCACCGCCTTGCTCCAATCCTTTCGCTCCAAGTAATGTCCACGAGCCGTTCCTTGACTTTGGCGTGCTTGGAGACGAACGGTCAAACTGGCAGCTCGAACCTGCAGGCTTCGATTCCGCAGTATCTGCAAGCGCGGCCTCCCTTGAAGACTGGCTGGCAGACCGACGGTCAAACGATGGTAGCAGCGACGACAGCAGCAGCCAGGGGGATGTTGATAGTGACACGGAGACTTGTAAACCATCCTAACCCGCGCTGTGAACAAAGCTAATCCTGATTCAATCATTTGTAGTCAATTCCGAAATTGCCTTGGGAAGGCAGCATGCCCGGTATTCAAAAACGTTCGAGAAGGAAAACCCCAATTGGTTTCCTTGGCCGGACAAGGAGGTTAGTAGTGCCGATTTTCTGAATCGGGTAGAGTTTTCTGAAGGCTGACTCACTGGGATTAGACATGCATTCTGGATGTTTTGCGCCACTTACCTGGTTCAATGTTCTCGCAAACACAGACCAAAACGATATTATGGACGATACGCTCACTTGGTGTAAACAATGTACCAACAATTGATGCTATAAGATCTTTTGAGGCGGAGATACAGCGACGCTGCGGTATTCGGTCGTTAAGATTTGAAGGTAAGAAGCCTTGCCAAAGATGCCGTGTTTAAACACAACCGCACAGTCTATATGGGGGTAATGCACCATGAAATTCAGGTTTGTGGTCCTTCATCCCGTCGTATTTCAATTTGAAGATGTTTGGGCAGAGCTACATTATTGCGAATGCAAGACAGCTAGGGTTTGACAACATAATAGGTTTCAATGCCAGAGAGAAGGTTTTGCGAGAGGCCATTAAGTTGAAGTGTAGCACCGCACGAGCTCAGCTTCGCACAAATGTAAGGCTGTAGTTGAATAAATTTGGCTATTCAACATCACTGATTGTGCTTATCGTAGATCATCCACACGATCTCAGGAAAGAAGAGATATCCATTGGACAGGGCGGCAGTCTTTCTTGCTGAGAAGCTTAAGCGGGGTGGAGTTACCAATAAGCTCAAGGTTGAATACATTCTCCGAGTCGCCCTTCTGGTAAGTTCGTGACCATGCATTTGAGTCCATCATAATCCTATTATTATTAGCGGCGGTTTGCTTCGGATGATGCTCAAGAGGACACCAGGCGTGGAAAACAGCAACACGAACAAGATGAAGAAGATACCGCAGGTGATGACTCAGATGGGGAGCGGCCAACCAAGCGTAAGAAGAAAAATACATTCTGGGACCGGCGCGATGCCTACATTGCAGACAAAATCAAGCGCAATGGCAATCAGATGGACAATGCGGGCTGGAAGCTGTGAGTACATTCACATCATGCTTTACTCCTGGCTGCTCATGCTGGTATCAAAGGTTCTTAAGTAACCTTGTACAACAAGACATCGAACAATGGGGGCCCCTAGACGGTCATGTGCGTGCTGAGGCACTGCCAATACCTTCACCCTCGAGCGCTTCCCCATCATCCGCAAGACATGTCAGCAGTGCAAGAAGCCTACGATATTCAGTACCGCCGGCATCCGATGCTTCTGTCTTTTCCTCCGCTCTTTCGACTCCTTCCCCACTTCCGCAACGCCCATCTGCAATGTTTCCGGTTCATGAAGACTATACTTCACAAACTCAGCATCCTTCTAGAAGCAATATACACTCTATCATGAATTAGCTCGCTTAGATGTACTTCGTGAACAGCCTTAGACACTATGAATTGAATGATTTCACACTTATTCTTCTCAATAAGGAACAAATAACAAGGGTGCAGCAACGGAATCGGAAGCTATGCCGAGACCCAAAGGCCTAATCGGGCACTCCCACGTGGCCCACAAGAACTGGTCCTGTATGAGAATGAAACGGAGATGGCACTAGGATTTTGTAACCTAGCCTCCGATTGGGCTGGGCAAACTCCAGATAATCTCGGGATTCACTTGAGACAGGTCCAATCTCGCGTGGTTGACGACTCACTCCAGTGAATCCCTGGCCGTGTACGCGACCACCCGCACTCGCCAAATCAGCAGATCGCCAAGCTGCAGCAGAAGGGGTTCACCCTTCTTCCATGGGATGCAAGGTAAGGAGGCGCCACTAATTTCAATGGAAAAAACCTTACCTCACCTTGCCAGGAACGGACTCCTTTTGTTAGACGAGCAGGGGCATATCTTTGCGGGCGCCACCAGTCCCAGAGATCCCGGATGGGTCCAAGTCACCACTGATGCCTTCGACATGGTATCTCACACACGCCGGGCCTGCGCCTTCATGCGCAAGCAGTTGAATCATAGGAGGGGGAGGCTTCCCGCCCTAGCAAGGGGAATATCGTATGGGGGCGGCCAACGGGTACCCATGGCTCTAAGAAGCTTGAAGGTCAACGACGCAGCCCTGAGCCACCTGGTGGACGAGCCATCTATTAGGCATATTGCTGGGCTTCAGTCCCAACTACTCCACACATTTGCACCTAGGCTAGGAGCGTACTACAAAGAAACGCTGAATGCACTCCTAGAGTCACAACCGGGGCTGGCTTGTAATTTCCATAACAGCGATTTTGCGTGTCTTACCGTAAACTTTGGACCGAATACCATATGCTTGGACCACACTGACTTCGTCAACCTTGCAACTGGGCTATGCGCCATCACTGCGCTAGGCGACTTCGATTCCAAACGAGGTGGCCATCTCATTTTTTGGGATCTCAAACTTATTCTCGAGTTTCCTGCGGGGGCGACCATTCTAATACCTTTGGCGCTACTGCGTCATTCCAACGTACCAATCCAAGCGAGGGAACAAAGGGCATCACTCACACAATATTCTGCAGGAGGGTTATTTCGATGGGTTGAGAATGGATTTTGTAGGAACATTGATTGTACCCCCTCCAACAATCCCAAGGGCAATGGAGGGGACCGATGGGTGAAGGGGTTGAGTATGTTCGATGT